AAAAAAGATTGCTTTGGCAGTTCGGGTCTTTTATGATCCCATATAAACTATGGAATTGTTTGTTCTAGTTCTGTGAAAAATGTGACTATTTTGACAAGGGTTGCATTGTATCTGTAGACTGCTCTGGATAGTACAGCCATTTTGATAATGTTGATTCTTCCAATCCAAGAGCACAAGATATCTTTCCATTTCTTTGTATCATCAATTTCCTTCATCAATGTTTTACAGTTTTCAGAGTATAGGTAACCTCCTTGGTTAAGTTTATTTCTAGGTATTTTGTTGTTTTTGATGCAATTGAAGTGTTTATGCCAGTAATAAAATTCTGATTTTTGAAGTGAAAAGAGAAACAAAAGTGAATGAAGGGCCGCAAATGGCAAAATATCCTTTCTTACTGGGTGAGTTGTACTCCATTACATATATATGCTGCATCTTCTTTATCCATTCATCTACTGATGTGCACTTGGGATGGTTCCATATCTTGGCAATTATAAAGTATGCTGCTGTTAATAGCAGGGTATATGTATCTTTTTGAATTCTTATTCTGTGGTTGGCTTTATTCCTTTGATAATTGTGTAAGTTTAAACAGCTAAAGGTCTAAATATTCTTGGAAACAATGAACAGTACGTGTATGTAAATTCTTGAAAAATATGTACAGCATATTGTGTATACGTATTTACATGCAATATATTGTACATGTGCAAACTGCAATAATTCTACCTAATAAAACTGGAAAATTTTTTAAAAATTAAAATTTTTTAAAAAGGACATTTTTTAATTCCCCCTTTCCCTCTTTTTTGGGACATTAGTCAGAGTTTGATACTATGAAAATTTTACACTGACATTCCTGTCTGGAAGCGTAACCTCCATTACATGGTCAAATGCTTCTAGTTTCACCTATGAAGTGACATCCTTCTGAAACACTTCTGCACCACTACCACCATCATCATCACTATGGAGACCAGAATTTATTATGTACCATGATTTTAAAGAATGTTATTTGTGTTATCACATATAAATAACACTATAATGTTGCTCTTTCACTAGTTCCACCTCCCAAAGTACCTGGGTATGCTTTTTTTGCTCCCTGTGATGACTCTAATTACAGCACATTTCACACTGAATAAAAATCACCTATTTATTGCTATTGTCCTCATCAGACTCTAAGATGCTTAAGGTCAGAAATTTTAGTTTATCACTTCATCTCCAACAGCAAACACAGTATCAGGGATATAGATGGTATTCAGCAAATAATGCCCACACTTCATTCTACAGAATACGTTTTAAAACAGATTTTAAAATAGTACCTTTAGTAAGTATAAACTAAAACTTACAAAACCTAAATGAGAAAAAATAGCATATGCTCTTGAAAGCTACAAAAACAGATTTAGAACATTAGAAAATCTTAGACAAAAAGGATCTCACCACAAATGTGTCAATTTTTAAGTTAATTTATAAACTTTACATGATTCCAGTAAAATTCAGTTTTTCCCCTTGGAACTCGATAAATTAACTGTAAAGATCTTTTATAAGAATAATAAGCGAGAACAGATATGAAAGGCTCTGATAAAAAGTAGCAATAAGGAAGGAACTAGCCTTCTCAAGTATTAAAAGATATCAAAGTCTGAAAAATTGTGCTGAACACTGGAATTTGACACAACATTGTAAAATGACTATAAATCAATAAAAAATGTTTAAAAAAAAGATATCAAAGTCTGTTAATTAAAAAGAATATGGCACTGGAATATGAATAAACACATCAGTGGAACAAAATAGAAAAACTAAAAATATACTCCTGCACAAATAAAACTTTATTATATGAAACGGTGGCATTTCTAATGGAAGAAGGGGTAACTTTCCAATAAAAGGTACTAAGACAAATGGACCCAATGGAAAAAGATAAAATCAGATCTATTCCTCACACCAAACACCAGGATAATTATAACTGTATCAAAAATCTAAATGTATAAAATAAAATTACATAATTACTACGAAAAAACAGTTGACTCAATTCCCAAAAGTAACTACAGAGAAAAGAATTTCTACCTTAAGTTTTTCACTCTCACAAATTATAAAATTATATAAAATTGGTTTTACACAGTTAAAGAACAAACAAAAAAGTAATCCCTAAATGTCAAAAGCAAAATCAAACAAATGGACTTAATTATGTATCAGGTAACATAATCACATAGAAAATTATTTCAACTGACTTTAAAACAAGTATTTCAGACTGTCCAGTCTTAGCGGGATAAAGATCTAGTAAGATACTTCCTAAAGTCAAAAAGAAAGAACTTCAAAGAAATGTTTAACTATATTCAATAACCTTATACTTTTTAATAATATTGTCATTTTTAAACTATCACATTCATTGTATGTAATTGTTAATATCACAAAAATTAAGATTACTAGTATCAAAGTAAGAAGGGACTTGTATTTAAAATTAAGTAAAAAGCCTACAATCTTGAATCTGATTTGGAAATATCTATATAATGTCTGTATTCATTCTTCTTTTTCTAATAAAAAATGCACTTCCTATTGAAAAATCCCAACCAACAATGATCAATCTTTGCACCCATATTTTTGTCTCTAAATTTCCTACTAAAAGGATTATAGGCTCCTTGGAAAAATGGTTAATTCCAGTATTAGGCAAGGAATGTACAAGATAATCAGGGACATCTTATGCAAAAAGCAAGTTATAAAAGACAATCTAATTTGTGACAAAGATCACAGGATACATCTTGAATAGGGTCCTCAAAAAATTAGAAATTGAGCAAAAACACTGACTTTTTAAAATGACTTCAACAATCTGAGACACATTAAAATGTTTAAATCCATGAGATTACAATGACACAACTTAAAATAACAAATGTTAATTTGATACCTTTTAGAGACTGCTAAGAAACAAATTCATTACTCTTATAATTGCTTTCCCTGGATGAACTAAAGTTTAGGGTAACCCAATAAACTGTTGAGGCAAAGTTTACCTTTATAATAACATTCCAATTAATAAACACAGATGCAATAACAGAACTGGAAAATCACCATTCTTCAACAAAATAAGTTGTCTAGACTACAATCATTAATTGATGCTAAAACTATTAGGCAGTTTAGAATGGAAAAATTAGATAATGAATGGAACAGTTTAAGAAAGACAGAACAGTGTAAGAGATAATGAATGAAACAATTTAAGAGACCTCAGAGATAACATGAAGCATACCAACATTCACATTACAGGGGTTCCAGAAGGAAAAGAGAGTGAAGGAGGCTGAAAATGTATTTGATGAAATTATGACTGAAAACGTCCTAAACCTGAAGAAGGAAACAGATATCCAGGCCTAAGCAGCACAGACAGTCCCAAACAAAATGAACCCAAACAGACCCACACCAAGATGTATAACTAAAATGTCAACAGTAAAACATAAAGAGAATTATAAAGGCAACAAGAGAAAAAAAGACTCACATACAAGGGAACTCCCATAAGATTTTCAGCTGATTTTTCTGCAGAAATTCTGCAGGCCAGAAGGGAGTACAATAATAGATTCAAAGTAAGAAAGGGGAAACTCTTGTACCTATGATAATCTACCCAGCAAGATTATCATTTAGAATTGAAAAAGAGAAAGAACTTCTCAGACAAGAAAAAACTAAAAGAATTCATCAATACTAAACAAGAAATCTTACAGAGTTTTCTCTAAGTGGAAAAGAAAAGGTTGTAACAAGAAGAAAAAATCTATAGGAAAGGAAAAATGCCACTAGTAAAGCAAATATATAGTAAAGGCTGATGATCAACCACTTAAACAAGATAATATGAAGATTAAAAGACAAAAACATTATAAAAGCAAATATAAGTACAACAATGAGTTAAGAGATACACATGAAGAAGGAAATATGACATCTAAGCCACAAAATATGGAGAGAGAAGTAGAAAATGTAGATCTTTTAGAATGTAGAATCTTTTAGAATGAACTTAAATGACTACCAATTTAAAACTAGTAGATATAGTTATATGTCAACATATATGAAGCCAATGGTAACCACAAATCAAACACCTTCAAAAGATACCCAAAAACTGGAAAGAAAGGTACATAAGCATATTACTAAAGAAAATCATCAAACCACAAGGGAAGAAACAAAATAAGAACTAAACAAGAGAACTACAAAAACAACCAGAAAAAAAGGTAATAAAATGGCAATAAATACATACCTATCAATAGTTACTTGAAATGTCAATGGACTAAATGCTCTAATCAAAAGACATAAGGTAGCTGATTACATAAAAATCAAGGCCCATCTGTATACTGCTTACAAAAAGCTCACTTCAGAGTGAGAAAATATTTGTAAAAGACATACCTGATAAAAGACTGTTATTCAAAATATATAAATAACTCCCAAAACTCAACAATAAGAAAACATGATTAAAAAATGAGCCAAAGACCTTGCCAAATACCTCACTAAAGAAGATATACAGATGGCAAATACGTCATGAGGGAAAATAAACTAAAACAATATACTATTACGTATTTATTAGAATGGCCAAAATTCAAAATATTGACCAAATGCAAGCGAGACTGTGGAGCAACAGGAACTCTCATTCACTGCAGGTGGCAATGAAAAATGGTATAGCTACTTTGGAAGACAGTTTGACAGTTTCTTAAAAATCTAAATATACTCTTACCATACAATCCAGCAACTGCACTCCTTGGCACTGACCCAAGGAAATGAAAACTATGTCTACATAAAAACCTGCACCTGGATGTTTATAGCAGCTCTATTCATCACTGCCAAAACCTGGAAACAACCAAGTTGTCCTTCAGTAGGTGAAGGGATAAATAAACAAGTACATTAAAACAATGGATTCAACGTTAAAAAGAATTGAGCTAACAAGCCAAGAAAAGACATGGAGGAACCTTAAATGCATATTATTAAGTGGAATAAAGCCAAAATAAAAAGGCTGCATACTTTATGACTTCAACTATATGACATGCTAGAGAAGGCAAAACTATGAAGACAGTAAAAAGATAAGTCTCCAGGGACTTGGAGAAAGTAAAGATGAATAGGTAGAGCACAAAGAATTTTTGGGGCAGTGAAAATACTCTGTATGATATTATGATCATGGATACATGTCATCATACATGTGTCCAAACCCTAAGAATGTATAACACCATGAGTGAACCCTAATGTAAACCATGGATAATGTCAATGTAGGTTAATCAATTGTAACAAAATGTACCACTCTGTTAGGAGATGTTGATAATGGATAAACTGCATATATGGGGGATACATGGGAAATCTCTACCTTCTCAAATTTGCTGTGAACCTAAAACTGCTCTTAAAAAAGTAAAGTCATAAAAGCAGTCGTAAAATACAAAATAAATATGTTCTTAAAAAAATGGCAAGAGAATTTTTATAGTCAGATCATTATACTTTTATAGACTTGTTCACTGCCATAATTAACCCCTTAATATCTAGTCACACTGAGGACTACATAATTTCAAAAGATTTTAATATTTCCATGTTTTAGTGCAAGTTACTGTGTTTACCTGAAATGCCCATCACCTCATTCTACCTCTTGTAAAATCCTAATTCAATATTGAGGATTCACCTATTCAAATAACTATTTGGTGGCATTTTTTAACAACCTCTTCCCTCCTCCTCTCTCTGCCAAATTAAAAATTAGTTTCCTTCAAAGTATTTTCTTAATATTCTGTATATAGATCTTGGTTGTTTAACTTGTTCATATTTCTAAATTATTAATTTCTTCAATGCTGCAATCCTAGAAACCAGTACCAATTCCTGATATAGAATAGGTACTCAAAATACGTTGGCTATACCCATACCTCAAAGCAATTATCAATGACACACATGTATGACAAAGAAAAGACACAGCTAGGTACGTACAAAAAGTAGTAAAACATTAGTTTCAATATAATGTGATTTTTGAAGATACAACAAAGACTGTCTTTCCTTAATTATTACACAGAATACTTACATAATTTGTGTGACAAACATACAATTCAGCAGTACTCTCTAGCAGTAATTTTCTGGCAATAGTGTAAGTTAGGGCACTTAAATTTTTCAATACTTCTTTAGTGTGAATGCTATTTTGTATTCCTGCAAATCTTCAGTCAAATATAAGTCTTATTACTGCTACACATCTATATCTCATGTTTCCAACCATTAAATGACAAAAAGGTCACATACCAAATGAAACTGATCCACCTTTGGAATTCCTTCCTCATTTGTCTCAAATTCCTGATTTTGAACAGAAAGCTGTTAAAGAGAATGAGAATGAATAAATTCCCAATGTACTAAAATACCAATCCTATAGCAGAGGCCAATCTGAAACTCTTTAGGTTCTAGAGAGAAGAGATCAAAGAAAGCACATTACTTCTAGCAAGATAAAAATATCTTCATTAAAAAAAAAAACAGCAACAACACTACTTGTTCACAAGCAACCAAACAGTTCCTGGGGCTCCTAAAGTATCAATCAAGAGTTGATGCACATACTATAAGCACTTTTAATATTTCCTCACCTTAGAAGCAAATATATTAATATGCAGTAGCTTACACTGTATTGGCTTCACCAATACTCATATATTAAATACAAAGAAAATTTATCAGGCAAGTTTGCTTCCTCATTAATACCTAACCTGTGTTCAAGAAATACTTGCTAAAATTTTATAAACTATCAAATATGGAGAACTTCTTACATACACAAAGATATTCTGAATCCCATGTATTTATCACTCAGCCCCAACAACCATCAACCAATGATCACTCTTGCCCTAGGTACAAACCCATATATATTATTTTTGAGGAAAATCCTATATATCTCATAATTTCATCTATAAATGTTTTACTACATATTTCTAAAAAATAAAGTCTTACTTTGACATAATCACAATATCACACTAAAAATTAATAATTCTTGAATATAAAATATCAAGTTTTCAAATTTTAATAACCTCATATTTTATTTTCTTATCATTTACTTAAACCCAGATTTAAATAAGTTCCACATACTGTAATTTAAAAATGAATAAAAGGACTTCTAAACTCTTCCTGCTCCTCACCACTAAGTTCAGAAACAACATAAAAGACAACAAAAAGAGATCTCTGACAGGTCAAAAGAGGAAGGAAAACTGGTGAGAGACTCCAGGACTTGAGGAACAACGTAGTGACAGGGTGTCTTATAACTTTCCTCCATCAAGGAAGATTAAAGCCTTATTTTGACACAATCACAATATAACAATAAAAATTAATAATTCTTTAATATAAAATACCCAGTTTTCAAAAAAGAAGGTGACTCAAATAGCATAAACTCAAAGAAAATTATTGGAATTTCTGACAACTAAAAACAAAGAAAAAATCTTAAGTGCAACCAAAGAGAAGCAAAACATTACCTATGTAGGAATATCAACTTGAGTAACAGAGGATTTTTCATGTAAAACCATGGAGATTAAAAGGAAGTAACACAACCACCATTTTTTCAACTGATAAAGAAAAGAACTTTCAAACACAAATTCTACATCCAGTGAAACTATCCTTCAGGAATGAAAGTGAAATCAAGATGTTTCTACGTGAAGGGAAAATAGAAGAATTTTTCACTAGAAGACAAACTCTTAAAGAATGGCTAAGTACCTCAAATAAAAAGGAAATGAATTTTTCAGAAAGGAATGTTGCAGCATCAAGAAGGAAGAAATAACAGTGTAAAGAATAGAAACATAAATACCAAAGACTATTCTTCTCACCATGAGTTTCCTAAAATATATATGATGATTAAAACAAGTTATAGCATTATCTGATGCTCAAGACAATGAATGATATTTAAAAGTGGGGAGGGTAAAGGAACCCAAATAGATTTCTACACTTTGCTCAAACTATTAAAACACTCATACCAGTAGAATAGGCTTAATTTCCAGAATATATAACAGATATACATAACAGATATAATTTTAATAATTAAAAAAACCCGATTCAAAAATGGGCAGAAGACCTAAACAAGCAATTCTCCAATGAAAACATACAAATGGCCAACAGGCACATGAAAAAATGCTCAATATCACTAATTATCAGAGAAATGCAAATCAAAACCAAGACGACATATCACCTCATACCAGTCAGAATGGCCATCATTCAAAAGTCCACAAACGATAAATGCTGGAGAAAGTGTGGAGAAAAGGGAAGCCTCCTATACTGTTGGTGCAGCCAACAGTGGAAAACAGTATGGAGATTCCTCAAAAGACTAAAAATAGACTTACCATATGATAGAGCAATCCCACTCTTGAGCATATATTCAGAGGGAATGTTAAATCAAAAAGATACATGCACCCCAATGGTCATATCAGCGCTATATGCAATAGCCAAGACATGGAAGCAATCTAAATGTCCATCAGCAGATGACTGGATAAAGAAGTTGTGGTATATTTATATAATGGAATAATACTTGGCCATAAAAAATAATAAAATAATGTCATTTGCAGCAACATGGATGGACCTGGAGACTATCATTCTAAGTGAAGTAAGTCAGAAAGAGAAAGAAAAATACCATATGATATCACTTATATGTGGAATTTTTAAAAAAAGACAAACGAACTTATTTATAATAAGAGACAGACTCACAGACAAAGAAAACAAACTTACGGTTACCAGAGGGGAAGGGCGTGGAAAGGGATAAATTGGGGGTTCTAGATTTGCAGATACTAATATACATAAAATAGATAAACAACAAGTTTATATTGTATATTACAGGGAACTATATATAGTATCTTGTAGTAACCTATGGTAAAAAATATGAAAACGGATATATATGTATGTTCCTATATGACTGAAGTATTGTTCTGTATACCAGAAATTGACACAACATTGTAAACTGACTTTACTTCAATTAAAAAAAAAACATATTGGAAATTTAAAAGCAGTTAAAGTAAAATGAGAGAACTGGAAGTTCTGTCCAGATATATATTGGATTGGATTCTATTACTTCTGTAAAAGAAAAATTATAGGGAATCACAAAATCATGGTTTTGGAAGGTAACTGAAATGGCATGAAGGTATGGGTCTCAAGTTGTTAAGGAAGTCCAAAAACTGCAAGGTTAGGTTATTCAATGAGTGATCAATATGACCACTAACATATTCTAGGAATAAGTTTGAAGTTGGAATAAAAAGAAAATCTTTATAAACAATTTTCCAAAGAAATATATAAGGGGCCATGGTTGAGACATCAGTAGATGAACTCATCAAGGAAACACGGCACAGTTTATTTTTTAAATAGTATTTCAGCACATAATTGTGGCTAAAATTTAAACTTTCATTTGGATACGGTAAAGGCATGCATTCCATAATATTCCAGCAACTACTCTGCACCAGGCACACGCTTTTAGGCATTTAGAATACAGGAGCAAACAAGACAAACTGCCTTAAAGGAGCTTACATTCTACTGGCAGAGCAGACAATAATAAAGATAAATAAAAGAAATGTATAGTATGTTAAGAGAAAATTCAAGTAGACAAAAGGGCTGCATTTCAGAGAAAGTCATGCTAAAAAAGCGTCACCTGAATAAAAGAGCCAATCACTTTTATTTTAAAATTATTCAGCTTCCTCACAGCAGCACCCACACACAAACACAATTTTTTTCACTATAACGCCAGAAGTACTGTACTTTTTTTAATGGGTTCTAGAAATGTCTTAAAAATTTCATTATAACCTGAAAAAACATAGAAGCATCTTAATACAAATGACTTTAAGGCTACCTTCCAAATATACCAGTTAAAAGATACAGTTTACTGCTGGAGATGGAAGGGTTGCCAACACTCAAAACACTAGAATTTTGAGTAGCTGAAGGCAGTCTTCAAAATATTTCCATCATTCAGTCTGGGTCTCATAACAGAAATGATCCTAAACCAAAATATCTTACAATATGCCTCAAAATATCTAGTCAGTATTCTAGTGTTTTGACATCAAATAAGCTGTTACTTTTATTTTTGCTAATTCTAAAACTTTTAAAAGCCATAACATGATAGTTAATCTACTGATGGCTCTGGAAATAAGATTCTCTGCTAATGATTCCAGTTTAACTCTAAACATTGCCTTTTCAAGCACAACCCTTGAGTATGTGCCTTTGTACACATTTTACACTAGGTTCTTCTATTGTAACCTGCCTTATTTGAGGAGGAAGATCAAAATATCCATAACCTTTGGAACTAAACTAAATTTCCTATCCAAAAAAAAATTGTTTAAAAAAAAAGAACCTGAACAACTAGAAAACATTTTTAAGATATCACAGTAGTTACAAAAAATGGAATACTTAGGTATAAAATCTAACAACACATTTATAGGATCTACACACTCAAAATAACAAAATGCTGATGAAACAAATCAAAGAAGACTTAAATAAATGGAGGTCATGGATTAAAAGATTTAACACAGTAAAGATGCAATTACTCAAAATGCCACTTCTCCCCAAACTGATCTGTTCTATTCAAAATCACAGAAGCTTGATTATAAATCAATAAAAAATGTTAAAAAAAATCACAGAAGCTTTCTGTACATATAGAAAAGCTGTTTCTAAAATGTATCTGAAAAGGCAAAGATACCTGAACTGCTAAAACAATTTGAAAAAACTGTTTTACTAATCATACTACCCAATTTTAAGATAAACTATCTTACTACTATATACTACTTATACTTAGACTACCTATACTTAAACTATCTTACTATATACTACTTACTACTATAAAAATACAGTAATCAAGACAGTGTAGTATTGGTAAACAGATACACAGATCAATGAAACAGAATAAAGAGTCCTGAAACAGATTCACACATTTTCACTGTGTGAATTTCTACAAACAGTGAATTTCACTGATTTCCTACAAGCATGCAAAGGAAATGCAGTAGAGAATCACTGTCTTTTTAATAAATGGTGCTGAAACAACTGGACATTCCATATGCAAAAAAATGAACTTTGACATAAACCTCACTTCTTACAGAAATTACATCAAAACAGATCCTAGATCTAAATGTAAAACATATAACTATAAAGCTTTTAAAAGAAAATGTAAGAGAAAATCTTTATAACCTAGGGTTAGGCAAAGATTTCCTATATACAATACTAAAAGCATTATCTACAGAAGGAAAACAACAATAAATTAAACTTCATCAAAATTAAAACCTTTTTCTCTGCAAAAGACACTGTGAGGAGAATGAGAAGACAAGTTATAGACTAGGAAAAATATTTCAAACAACATCTGTTAAGACATTTGTATCCAGAACGTATTTTTAAATGCTCACAACTCAATAGTAAGAAATACAGTTTTTAAACGGGCAAAAGATTTGAACAGTCACTTCACCATAGGGGATATATGGAAGGCAAATAATAATCAAAAACATGCTCAACTTCATTATCCATTAGAGAAACTTAAATTAAAACCACAATAGGACACTACTACAGACCTAAGAGAATGGCTAAAACAGAAAATAAGGGCAATATGCGGTATTAACAATGATGCAGAGCATCTGAAACTCTCATACATTGCTGGTGAGAAAACAGAATGGTACAGCCACTCTGAGTAAGTTTGGTATCTCTATATAAAATTATACATACAATTACAATCAACCCAACAATCTCCCTCCTGGGTATTTATTCTGGAGAAATAAAAACGTATGTTCACACAAAAACCTATATACAAATGTTTATGGCAGCTTTACTTGTAATAGCCAAAACCTGTAAACAACCCAAATGTCCTTCAACAGATGAAGAGATAAAGTTGGCACATCCATATAATAGAGTACTACTCAGCAACAAAAATGGAATGAACTACTGATATACTAAGGAGCTTGAATGAATCTCAAAGGCATTATGCTGAGCAAAGCAGCTAGCCTCAAAAGGTTACACACTGTAAGATAACATTTATACAACATTCTTAAAAAGACAAAGCTGTAGTGATAGAGAAAAGACCAGCAGTTGCCAATGGTTAAGGGTTAGGGAGAAGGTGTGACTAGAAAGGGACAGCACATAAGGGTTTTGTTGTTAGTTTGCTTGCTTGTTTGTTTTGAGTTATGGAACTGTTCTCTGTCCTAACTGTGGTGATGGCTATACTAATTTATACATATATACATATGTTATAGTTAAAAGGACTGAAGACCAAAAACCAGTCAACTGAAACACATGATAATTTAAAACTAAAAATTTTAGAAGACCTTAGTCAACATTAAAGATGAGCAGGAATTCAGTGCAACAACAGTGTATTTACTAATAGAGCTCTTTACTGCCATTTAAAGATGAAGGGAAATTGGTGGAATAAAGACTGCTATCACCATACTTCAGTGATATTTTATGATAGTTCTCAGGAACACAAGAACATTTGAGACATTAACTTTCATCCCTCTGATGTAAACAGTAAGGATATTACTGATGCGATGATAAAAATGCCAGTATAATCATTTCTACGGCTATGATGATTCTATGAAACCAGACAACTTTAAATACACATGCTAGCATAAGGCTAAAACTTGTGAATAATTGATTGTGGAATGGGATTTCCACTGATTACTACTTGGGTAGGTATAAACACTCTCTTTATTACAGCTTTATTGGGGTATAATTTATGTATACTAAAATATATATATTTGAGGTATATAATGTGATTAGTTTTGTGTAAGTATATACTTATATAAGTATATATAAGTTTTGTATAAGTATACTCCTACAAAATCACCACAATCAAGCTGGTGGACATGGTGATCATACCAAAAATATTTCCTCATGCCCCTTTGTAATCTATCCCTCCCTTCCCCTCTACCCTCAAACCCCAGAGCATTGATGATCTATCACCATAGATAAGTTTGCATTTTTTAGAATTTTATATAAACAGAACCATAAAGTATATACTCTCTTTCCTTTGGTTTCTTTAACATGGCAGAATTATTCTGAGATTCCATCATATTACTGGGTGTAAAGGCAAACCTCAAAAATATTGAGGTCCAATTTCAGACCACTGCAATCACTCAAATGTCACAATAAAGGAAGTCAGATAAATTTTTTTAGTTTCCCAGAACGTAAAAGTCATGTTTACACTATACCATAACCTATTAAGTGTGCAATAGCAGTATGGCTAAAAAAAATGCATATGTTAGTTTAAAAGTTTAAAAATACTTTATTGCTAAAAAATGCTAACCATCATCTGACAATGCAGGGCTGCCACAAATCTTCAATATATAAAAAACACAGTTATCTGTAAAGCACAATAAAGCAAAGCACAATACAACAAGGTATGCTTGTATTAATAGTTCATTCCTTTTAATTGCTGAGTAGTATTCCAATGGATAGATACACAGCAGACTGTTTAGCCATTCAGTTGTTTATGGGCACCTGGGTTGTTCCCAGTTTTTGGCTACTACAAATAAAATGTCTGAGTATTTATGCACAAGTCTTCGTGTGGACATACACTTTCATTTCTCTAGGCTAAATACCTGCGAGTAAAACGGCTAGGTCATATTATAGGTTTATGTTTAAACTTTTAACAACTGCCAAATTGTTTCCAAAGAGGCTGTTATATTTACATTCCCCTCAGTAATATACAAGAGTTTTAGTTGCTAAACACCTTAGCCAACATTTGGTATTGTCAGTCTTTTACTTTAGACATTATAGTGGGTGTGTGGTAGTATCTCATTTTGGTTTTAATTTCCCTAGTAACTGAGAGCATCTTTTCACATGCTTATTTGCCATGTGGACATTTTATTTGGTTAAGTACCTATTTAAATATTTTGCCTATTTTTAAGTTGAGTTGTCTTTTTATCATTGAGTTGTAAGAGTTCTTTGTAAGTTGGATACAAGTCTTTTGTCAGATACACGTTTTGCAAATATTTCCTCCCAGTCTATGCATGACTTGCCTTTCATTTTTTGCCTTTCATTTTCAGTGTCTTCTGAAGAGCAAAGTTTTGAATTTTGATGAAATCCAAATTATTTTTTCCTTTTACACTTGATGTTTTCTATGTCCTATTATTAAGAAATCTTCACCAAACTCAAAGTCAGTAAGATTGTCTCCTGAGTTTCAGAGACTTAGGTTTTACATTTAGGTCTAATATATATTTAATTAATTTTTATACACTGTGCAAGGATTCTGTCAAAGTTGAGTCATATTTTTTATGTATAGATACCAATTGTTACAGTAACTTTGTTGAAGACTATTCTTTCCCTCATAGAATTGCCTTGGCATGTTTATCTAAAATCAACTGACCATATATGAGTGGGTCTATTTCTACTGTCTCTATTCTGTTCCATTGATCTGTATATCTAACTTTAGACCAGTATCACACCATATTGATTACAATTTTATTACGTCTTAAAAATCAAAGTCCTCCAATTTTATTCTTCTTCAAAATTGTTTTAGCTACCCCAAATCCTATGTATTTTCATATGAACTATAGAATCTGATTGTAAATGACTGCAAAAAAAAAAAGTAAGCCTAAAAGCACTTTTGTTGGAACTATATTGAATCTAGACCAACTTGGGAGAACTCATGTCATTACAACACTGAGTCTTCCAGTCCATAAACACAGTGCATCTCTCCATTTATTTATGCCTTCTTTAATTTCTCTCAACAATACTTTGTAGCTTCCAGTGTATAGGTCTTGCATATCTTTTGTCAAATTTATCTCTAAATAATCCATATTTTTTATATTTCTATAAATGACTTAATTTTCAATTTCCTAGTATACAGAAATACAATTAATTATTATACTGACTTTGTATCCTGCAACCTTGCTGAACTTGTTAGTTTTAGTAGCTCTTATGTACATAACATTCCTAAAAATTTTCCACATAACTAATCATGTAATATGTAAATAAAGACAGTTTTATTTCTTCATTTTCAAACTGTATGCCTTTTATTTCTTTTTATTGCCTTATTTGACTGGCTAGATCCAGATCAGCAGACTTCAGTCTGCATGCCAAATCCATCCCACTGCTTATTTTCATAGATTCAAAGCCAAGAACAGTTTTCACATTTTTAAATATCTGAAAGAAAATCAAAGAATACTATTTCATGACACATGAAAATCATATGAAATTAAAATTTCAATGTCCACAAATAAAGTTTTATTGGAACAGAGACACGGATTCATTTATGTATTATCTATGGCTGTTTTCATACTATCGCAGCAGAAATCATATGACGCACAAAGCCCAAAATATTTACCATCTGGCCTTTTATAGAAAATTTTGCTGATCCCTGGGCTAGAACCTCTAGCATAATGTTAAGCAGAAGTGAGAACAGACATCTTTCCCTTGTTAACACTTAATCCCTCATATTTCACAGGTTTAAACCATGGATAAGAAACCGCTATTTGGTTTACACTGAAAGCAGGAACATTTACTCAAGGCTCAATTAATATTTGTTTTCCATATATGCATGAATTGCTTCCAGGTTAATATAGAATAAAATCAACTTCACTGTTAATAAAACTAAGACAACAGCATGATATGTTAAATATATATCAAGCCAAATTTTGGAAAGTACATAATAGGTGACAGGAAGTACAGCTGACCCTTAAACAACTGTAGGAGGTTCAACTGAATGGAGGTTAAGGCACCAACACTTGGGACAACTGAAATCTGCATATAATTTACAGTCAGCCCTCTTTATCCATGGTTCCTCTGTATCCATGCAGCTACAGATGGTATACTACTATAGTATTTACTACTGAAAAAGAAACCATGTTTAAGTGAACCTGCACATTTCAAACCCATGTTGTTCAAAGAACTACACAGGAACAGTTTATGATAAAACTTTAAAAACAGTTGGAAAATTTTTTCTGCTTTTTATCCAGTGTAATACATTGAGAAAAACCACTACAATCATCACTTTCTGTAATGAAATATATATAAATGATTTATCTGTTTCAATAATAAAAAATAACATACCCACAGTAATAGGCAGCCATAAGCATATAAGTCAGAACTTGGAGAAGCAGGTTTTCCCATTTTCAACTCAGGTGACAGTAAACTCAAGTCACCAACCATCATGTTCACTGAGGCTCGCTGACTCTACAAAAAATCGGTTAAATATTGGTAGGTTAAATATTTTAGAGACAACACAGTTAAGGTGGCTTTCTGTGTTTAATCAACGCCAAAAAAAAAAAGTATTCACTTGAAGTATTTTATTCTCTCTTGCTTTTAAACATTTTTACCCAATTTCCACCATTATAAATTGCTCTCAAAATCGGTCTCATAAACAGTGTCTCATGACAGTGAGACAGACTATGATTACATTTCATATTGTAGACTCAACAGATTGAAAACTAAGAACTAGTGATTCTTTAAGAATTTGGTACTCTTTTTTTTTTTCAATAAATTTCATAAGGACAAGAGGCAGTGCTATTTTTTTAATTCTGAAAATTCTAAATAACTTTTAAAAGCCACAAGTCTACAAAGTTACTTTCCTTCCTTACAGACCATTTTCTAAGTCTACCATTTCCAACATGTCAAAGGATGATCAATGACAAGAACATGAACTCTGGATTCAGACAGACTTTGACTGCAATTCCCACTCTGCCACTTATTTGCTGTGTGACCTCGGGCTTTAACTAACTCTTTGAGCCTAAAACAATTATTATAAAGGTGAAGGTAATCAGATCAGTAATTACCTAGCACATATCACTAAATGTTAATTATCTTCTCTTCCTACTATCTTTATTCTTGCATCTCAGAGTGCGGTCCAAAGACCAGTAGCTACAGTATCACCTGGGAGCTTGTGAGAAATACAGAATCTCCATTCTAGAAATGCTGAATAAAATCTGCATTTTAGTACACTTGAAACATATAATGTTATATACTAATTTTACTTCAATTTCTAAAAACTGCATTTTAACAAGATTCCCAGGAGATTCATATGTACTGTAAAGTCTGAGAAGCAATGTTCTTGACTGCAATTGCTTTTCAAATTACTCTTCCTGTTTAACATCTCAATTTGAGAGTAAGATAAAAAATGGAAAAGGTGAATTTAATCAATATTTCCAAGTAAGTAATTTTAAATAAAAGATTACAAACAATGTTTAGAGGGATAATAATAACTGACAAATCAGTATAAAGGGGAAGAATACAGCTCATGATTCCTAGAGCTGTACAGACAGCATGCTCAAAAGGCATATCAACCAAGATCCCTAAGAATTGAGAACTTTTTAAAACTCACAACTTAGTTATTTTTCTTAAGATGTTATCCTAAGTTTCAAATAAATTAATATAAATATTTCAGCAAATCCATTTTGTATAAATGATTTAGAGTTAGAGTTTTACATTTTTATTTTCTTATCTTTTTGAGGTACCATATGAACACCACTGAAACTACAGACAGGTGGCATTATCCAAAGATTTACAAATGACATATAAAGCACTGTGAGTTCTACTGGTCAAAAGGGAACTCTTCATATACAATAAAATACTGGCAAGGATTCAGAGAAATTGGAATCCTCATATATCCTCATATATCACTGATGAAAGTAAAATGGTGCTGCCACTTTGGAAAACTGTGTGGTTCTTCAAAAAGTGAAACACAGAGTTACCATATAACCCAACAAGTCCACTCCCAAGAAAAGAAAACATATGTCCACACAGAAACTTGTACTAATGTTCACAGTAGCATTGTTCACAACAGTCAAAAAGTGGAAACCCAAATGTCCACAAACTGATGAATGTAAAAACAAAATATGGCATATCCATACAAAAAATATTATTTGGGCATTTTTTAAAAGGAATGAAGTTCAGACACATGTTACAACATGAATGAACCTTGAAAACATGCTAAGTGAAATAAGCCAATTGCAAAAGGCCACATATATGACTGTTATCTATAGGAAATGTCCAGTCTAGGCAAATCCATGGAGACAGAAAGTAGATTAGAGGTTTCCAAGATGCTGAGTAGAGAAGAACAGGGGAGGGACTGCAAATCGGTATGGAATTTCTTTTTGAGGGTGATTAAAATGTTCTGGAATTAGACTGTGGTGACTGATACGGAATCTTGTGACTATATTAAAAACTCATACTGAACTGTACATATCGAAATGGGAGTTATGTATTAATAAAGCTGTTTTTCTAAAAAAGAATTTCTCTCTCGTGATTGTGTATATTTTGAAATTGCTCATTCTACCAAAAAGAAAAAAAAAAGATCACAGTAAGCTCTTTAACTGTTTGATGTTTGTTATCCCTACAAACTGCCTCTTCTGAGATAATATGGCACCAAATTAACAACCGATATAGTTGAACCGACACTTGAACTGAATGTAAAAGCCCAAGGTTCTCTAGTTTCTAAAAATGCTCATTAATCAAAAAACAGCAAAGTATATACAGCTAAATTTAATCTATTGAGGAGGGCACCAGCAGATGGGAAGAGAGGAGATGGCCTCCTAGTTTTCCTTGTGTACTTTCCAGCAATTAAATGTTTCTTGATGAGAATAAAATAATTAATGTTAATGGTGTCAATACCATTGACTGTAATTTCAAGTCGCTCCTAAGACTTATGGTTAAAAAAATATAACGCACAACTTTGGAAACTCTCATTCCAGCACCTAACTGATAACACATAATTGCTTACACTACATGACACACCATAACTGAGAAGCAGAGATCTTATAATAAATAAGTATATGATACAAAAGTGCTGAACTGCCTAATAATATTAAATCAAGTGTAGAACTTATTTATAAAACCACTATATTTTACCACAGATTTGGTGAAGTCAAAATCTCCAACAATTCCTTGTTCACGGTTTAAAGCAAATACATTGTTCTGATGAAGTGATCCATGAATTATGTCAGCCTTGTGCAATGTATGCAGGCCCTGGGCAACACCTTTCATGACCTTTAAGACTTCCTACAGGTAAGTACACACAAAAGAAGTCAAGAAGTAGACAAATCATTTTAACAGCTGAACCTTTTCTCCAATTACAAGACTCTTCCATAAGTGACCAAAATTCTTCCAAAAGAACACAGCATAGAAAAGGAATTAAAAGCCAGAAGCCCTGATTATGTAACTGGTGATATCATATACATATGACTTAGAGACTACAGTCTCTAAGAAGACTTGGTTACAAATAAGACCTTATAAAGCATCTAGGAAAAAAAAAGAGATGAAAACAGTGTTACTGGGTAGGTAAGAATCAGGGCATCCTTTATTGTTATTATTAATTCAAATCTACAATAGAAATTAAAGCTATTGCTTAAGTACTTACAATATCAAGTGCTATACCACATAATTTACATACAGCACAGCTTAACAGTTATAAGCATAGGCTTTGGTGCCAAAAAGACCTAATTTCAAGCCCCAACTGTGCCTCTGTTTGAGGGATCCTCTGCAAGTCATTTTAATCTCTGTAAGCCTCATTTTTCTCATCTGTATATAATGGGATAACTCATGTCACAGGGATGATGTGGCAATTAAATAGAATGAGTCAAAATTGTGTATTGTATAAAACATGTAATATGCCCTCAATAAATTTTAGGTGTTATTTTCTCATTTAATACATCCAAGGAAATAAAGTTTCTTACTTACTTGTGAAGTTAAAGGCATACTGGCTTGAACAGCACTCAGGTTTGCCCTAGGATAGTATGGAACCATCAGATAAGCCATAGGATCAGACTGAGAAGCAAAACAGAGAATAAGACTCAAAGTGAAAAATTCTTCAATATATTTTTAGTATGCAGTGATTATACAAGATAATTTTTCTTTATATAAAAAGGAATGAATTATTTCTCCACTGTGCAAAAGCCTTTAAGTTTAATTAGGTCCTATTTATTTTTGCTTTTATTTCTTTTGCCTTGAGAGACTGATCCAAGAAAATACTGCTATGATTTATGTCAAAGAGTGTTTCACCTATGTTCTCTCCTAAGAGTTTTATACTTTCATGTCTTACATTTAGGTCTTTAAACCACTTTGAGTGTATTTTTGTATATGGTGTGAGGTAATATTCTAATTCCTTTCTTTTACATGTGGCTGTCCAGCTTTCCCAGCACTACTTATTAAAGAGACTGTCTAAACTTAAAAGCTTTTGCACGGCAATGGAAAGCATCAACAAAATGAAAAGACAACCTACAAAATGAGAGAAGATATTTGCAAATGATGTGACTGACAAGGGGTTAATATGCAAAATACACAGACAGTTCATACAACTCAATATCCAGAAAAAAAGAAATAATTCAATCAAAAATGAGCAAAAGACTTGAATACACATTTTTCCAAAGACATACAGATGGCTAACAGGCACATACATGAAAAGATGTTCAACATCGTTTATTATTACAGAAATACAAATCAAAACCACAATATGATATCACCTCACACCTGTCAGAACAGCTATTTTCAAAATATCTACAAATAACAAATTTTAGAGAGGATGTGGAGAAAAGGGAACCTTCGTACACTGTTGGTAGGAATGTAAATTGATGAAGCCACTATGGAAAACAGTTTGGAGATTCCCTAAAAAGTAAAAATTGAACTACCATATGATTCAGCAATTCCACTCCTGGGTATATATACAGAAAAAAAAATGAAAACACTTACTCTAAAAGATACCATGCACCCCAATGTTCTCAGCAGCACTATTTAACAATAGCCATGACATGGAAGCAACCCAAACACTGAGCAACAGATGACTGGGTTAAGAAGATATGGTATATTTATATACAATGGAATATTACTCAGTCATTAAAAAGAATGAAACACTGACATTTGCAGCAATGGCAATGGACCTAGAGAATATTATGCTTAGTGAAATAAGTCAGACAGAGGAAGACAAATACTATATGGTATCACTTTATATGTGGAATCTAAAAAAATAATACAAATTAATGTATATACAAAACAGACTCACTGACATAGAAAACAAACTTCTGGTTACCAAAGAGGAAAGGGAAGGTGGGAGGGACAAATTAGGGGTATAGGATTCACAGATACAAACGATTATATATAAAATAGATAGGCAACAATGATTTACTGTATAGCATGGGGAATTATACCAATTATCTTATAACTACCAATAATGGAATATAATTTCCAAAAACACTGAATCACTAAATTGTACACCTAAAACTAACATAATATTATAAACCAAATATACACTTCAATTTAAAAAAGGAATAAATTACTTCCCTAAAGTTTGGAGCTAAAACTTACTTTACATAAAATGTTTCCTACAAGAGACTGTCATAAAACTTTACCTTACACAAAAATAGGAACATCAATGGTAGTAACCCAGACTCTTTTTTAGCTTCTCTCCAAGCTCTGTGATAGGCGGCTGCTCTCTGAATTACCCTGGCTTCTGTGTCAACATCCACAGAATAGCCCTTGAACCAAAAAAAGAGGCAATGGTAAATCCAAGATTAAAAATCTCTAATTATACATCATTCCAACCTAACAACTTGGATTTTTACGTAAGTTAAAATATATCTAAATTTATTTTTAATTGTATAAGTACTTTTTCTATCTGCTTTGAATAATAGAAAGAAGCAATTCTACCTGCAACTTAATATACATTTTACAACATGTAGCCACTAAGGCCAAATTAATTATCCTATTATCATGATTAGCAGTTCCCAAGGTCAGTGAAGAGAAGAAATCAAAGAATAGAACATGGTGTTGGCAAAACAGCTGAGATTTTAAAGAGAAATGTAAGAAAAACAAGAATGTAAAAGGCTCTTGGCTAGAATGTAGTAAGTTCACCTGAAAAAAGAAAGCAAGTATATCCTATTAAAGACATATATTATTTAGGGAAATGAGGGAAATTTTAAATTCAAAATTAGTTCTGGCAATCAAACTGGAAGCATAATCATCATGTAATTTAGAAAACAAACATGGGTCTTTACTTTCCTGAAAAGTCACACCACCACTTCCCTTTATACTTTTGACTCTCCCACAAGTCCAAATAACTTAGACTTACCTTTAAAAGAATTATCTGCCCGTCAACCTCAGAACATACCAAAGGACGCTTGCTGCTAAGTTCCTTCATGGGCTCAGCATCAAGAAGATCCCTTTCCAAGCTCATAGTAAGAAGACCACCAGAGTTCTAGGTACAAGTTTTTGTTACAGTTGAAGAATCCAAGCAATCCAGCACTTTTAAATAATCAATACAATTAATTACATACTATTAGATGAGTTGGAAATAATCAACTCTATTGGAGATATCAATAAAATAAAAATATTTAAAGTTTCATACTTTTTCTAGTTCCTGGCTCTTGAACTCCTTCCACCCAGAATGTAATCACCATACATTTAATCACTGCTATAGCTCTGTAACACATCCTGAAAATGACTGGGATTAACCAGACATGCTTCCAAGGAATCCTGATGTTTACTTGGAAAATTTCATGTGACAAACAAAAAGGTGGTTGTATAATGGGAACAAGAATTCACAGAAGTCATAATTTTTAGACTTCTAACACCTCTGCCTCTGTTTGAAGTGGAATCCTCAAAAGCGAAAATGGCTTTCAAATATTTTTCTACTAAATATTTCTGCTACTTTTTAAAAAGGAGTAATTTTTGCACTAAAACCTGACTATCAATATTTTAAATCAAGCTAAGTTTTAAGACAGTATAGTTTTAGTAAGAGGAGTTGTGAAACTATTTTCTGATTCTTTTTTTAAGCATTGTCAGTATATTTAAGTAATCTACATACATAATCATATATACAATATACACATATTTTATATAAGTAATCCACAATATATAATCATACACATACACACACACACACACACACACACAAACACACAAACCCTACAGGGGTTTCCTAAGTATACATAATGGTTAAACATCTCAAAATAATTAAAGGCATCCATAAGCCATGACTCAAAACCTTTTATAATCTTCCACAATGAAACAGATTAGCATATTTTCTTAATAAATTTTCAAGTCCTATATAGCACCATATATTTACTCACCCATCCTACAAGAGACAGTCTCTAAGCAAGAGTTAAATAACTGCAAGGAAAATCCCACATTATTTTAAAGTCTAATCTGGAAAGATTATACAGTAACTGCTTTAACAATTTAAGGGACTTTAGTCTTACACATTTATAAGTTCACAAGCCTATTTGAACATCCCTTTCTGTACTATATTTACACTATTATCATGGACTAATGACAACGTTAAAGAATAAATATCTCATCTAGTCCCTCATTCGTAGCAGGGAATATAAAACACAGAGCTACCAGAATCTGCTAGAAGCCAGAGTTTACCTGCTCCATACTGTCCTTCTGTCTAATACACTGATCTCCTAGGCTTTGGATCCTGTCTGCCTAGAAAACCATACCCACATCAGCAGCTCTACCTTAACCAGGTTCTCTGGAATTCTCTTCCCAGCCTACTTTAACTTAAAAAATACATTCTGTTTAAATTCCTCATGACTATCAGTGTCCTGCTTTCATTCTAACTCTTGGAATAGCAGCTAAAACTGCTTTACCATTTCAAAAAAAATAAACACCTGTAATTCAAATAAGTTCCATGCAATATAATGAGTGGGTATAAGGAAAAGGGAAAACATAGAAAAACATGAAAATTAATATAAAAATCTAAAAATAGATTGCAAGCATTAAAGACAGTCTTGAGGAAAAGTTCTAATAATACCAAGAAATCATTCATCATGGATGTTATTATAGTAAGGATATTATTAACTTAACACTGACACAGAATTTTAACATCATCACTTTTCAATACTCTCTGCAGAGTAGTAATTCACAGAGGAAAAAAAGCTTACCATGTACTTAAGTAACCCTATTTCAGGATGAAGCAGAGGAAGCTCAGGGAACCATTTCTGCACCAAACTATTCAGCTTCTCCTAAATTTAAAAAATATCTTCATTATTATAGTTCAATGTATATTCAACTGTCACGTTATTATCTCCCTTATTATTTATCTAACAAGATATATAATCTAACAAGATACACAATCTCATAGAGTATATAATCATTGATTCCACTACAAGAAATACCAAATGAAAACCAAGAGTCATCTTGGATCTAAACTACCATCTTACTAACAGAAGAAAAACTTGATTACCAATTTTTAGCTTGCTATATATATATATATATATATATATATATATATATATGCACAAAAATCTTGCCTAAGGTCAAAGTCTACACTCATTTCCAAGCTAAAATGAAAAAGTGTGATGAAAAACTAATCTGTATCATAAAATTGTCACTATTTTAAAATAATGGCTGTTTCATTTAGGAAGAAAAAAATCATAAAAGTCCTGAGAGAAAAAATAAACAAGCAGCTCTACAAAAGCTACTGTGAAGCAAATGTGGAAACTGAGAATCCTTAGAAAAGTCATTTATCATGTTTATTCAGTAAAACTTCTAGACAATTATCAAGTTCTTGGGAAACAGCTATTTTATCCAAGGTTCATAAGGTGAACAATGAAGTACACAAAGTCAGATAAGGTTGCTGAATAATGCATAACACTTAAAATGCCTAATATTTTCTTGGTATTTTTATTTTCAGAGCACTGTTTCTTATCTTACTTCTTTCCCATAACATCCCTGAAACATAAACTACAATATTCTTTCCATTTCAAAGAGAAAATATCCTCACTGACTCTCCCAAAGCCACAAAAATTAGTGGTAGAATGGAGACTTAAAGGTGTAACTTTCCCCCAAAGCAAGTAGTTTTATTTTGTTACATTCTTCAAGTAAATTATGGTGCCCATTAATGTTTTCATTGCTGTTTTATGCTAAAATGATATTCAGGTAGATTTTAATAAAGGAACAAATCATTAGGCTTTATGTTAAACAGAAAACAAGCAATATGCAAAAGTGTGTTTGTACTATAATCTCAATTCTTACAAAAACAAGCAGAAAGAAGACCAATAGAAAGTTAAGTCAAAAGTTAAATGTGATTATCCTACTGTCACCACTGAGTCGGAAAAGTTATAGGTGATGTTTCTTCTTCTTTGTAATTTTCTGTAATTTTCATATTTGGTACAATGGTTATGAATTTTTTGTCATCAGAAACTACTTTCTAAATTCACATAAACATTACTATGCCAACATAATGCCAATATAATCTCTAGCCTTGTGATTATAGTCCACTTCATAAAATGGATATCTGAATTCAATTTCTAGAGTAAAAACTAATTGAAAATTTCAAAGAATCAAACACTTACATATTCCTCCTGCTCATGATAAATTTCCTGAAAGACACTACTGCGCAATTGAGTTACTTCTTGTTTTATTTTCTCAATCTCAGCTTCATCATGGTCATCAGACTTCAATCAGAAAGAAAAAAGTGATCTTACTAGCTTATTAAAGCAGATTGAAAACAAGTCTTCTTATTAAGAATTAATGGAAGTTCTACAGCAAATCAGTCTGTCTGATTTCTATGTATCCTCTATACCTAGCATATAACAGAACCTCATAGCACTGGTCAAATTAACATTTATTAGTATATTCTAACACTGACTTTGCCAAAACCTACAAAAAGAAATTATAAAATAAAGTCATAAAATAAATTACATAGATTTTTCTTGTCTCTTAATTTGCTGTAGATTTTCTCTAAGATGATCGACTGCCACCATAAAGTAAATGTCAAGAATAGGAACCAGAATGCAATTAAATTCCCTGGAATTGTTTTCTACATAAGATTTTATTTTTTAAAAATTAGTAAATGTGTGGCATGTCTACTAGAGGAAAGACAATGGACGACCCACAAAGGCTCTATAAAACTCTAATGATAATAAATAAGCCATCTTAAAAGGTACATGTTTTCAAAGTTAAACTATTAAATTAGCTCCACTCCATGCTTAAATGCTCCAAAGATGAAGAAAGCTAATTCAAGTTAGATTAAGATATAATGTAAATCCCTTTTATATATTAATCAAATCCTTAAGGGAACACAAAAAATTACCAGTTTATTCACAAAGTTTCAAGCCTAAAGAAGAAGGTTAGTCCAGTTTAAAGTGTCCTAATTCTTCCAGTTCTATTATAACATGAAAACAACTTAAAATATTTGCAAGAAATAGTACGTCCAGCTCTTAAAAAGAGGGTTAACAAAAGACATCACGATCTTTAAAGTACTTTATGACCAAATTCTACTTTGGTAGAGTACTCCATCAACTTGCAGCATGAGGTAGGCTTGTATATAATAAACATGTATTATAAAATTTACAAACATAGAGGAAAATAAGATAAAATATATAAAACAAAATGTGAATAATTTTTTTATACATTACTTTCATGAAGCAGAGCCCAAGTAAAATGAGCTACATATGAAGTTCAGTAAGAACCGTTTCCTTACTTCTTCCAAATTATTCTTTTCAACCAATTTCCATCTCAGTCGAGCCTTTAAGCTTTTCAGTGTTTTTTTAATGGACAGCAAATGATCCACATTGAGGCTCTTATTTAAATATTCAGTAATCTGCTTCTTAAACTAAGAGAGAAAGAATTGTTATATTTTCAACATGAAGACAACAATATTTATTGAACAGTCACTTTTTGACCACTTACTATTTATCTATATTCAACTAGCATTTTACTGAGTTCAGACTGAAATAAGAAATTGTACAATTTTCAAGAAGCCAATTCTACCCACTAACTTCTTAATTATCCACATATCTATTTAGAAGAATATTCATTCCAGCAGTCAAAGGAGCAAAGGTAAGAAATATTTTAAGCTGAGACACACAGTGAGATGCGCTTTGCTACAGAGAATGCAAACTGGAATTTCTAGTAAGGATGTAAATTGAAATTACTTTTCCCAAAAGTGGTCTGACAATATGTATCAAGTTTTAAGAACATTCCTTTTGACTTAGTAATTCACAATTTTTAGACATCTCTTTGAGGAAATACACACACAAAATACACACAAAATTATGTACAAAGATTACATACAGTGTTATTTATAATTTAAAAATACAGAAGTAACCTTAACATCTAATACAGATGAAAGGTTAAGTAACACTGTATATCTATGCAGAAATGATGTTTCAGTCACTCAAAATGAACCATTAATCTTATGGGAAAATGTTCATAATACATCATTAGATGAAGAAAATATTTTCAAAACAGCTTACAAAATGATGCAATGCACCTAACATTCATACATACATGTAAGTCACCATCCAAAAAGGAAATACTCTGAAACTAGCAGGAAGTATCTCTTAGGCTAAGGGGATTATAATTAATGTCTATTTCTTCTTCTTATCTTACTGTATAAAGCAAATTTTCTGCTATAAACTTGTCTTGACAGAAAGAAAATGATAAAAGTTATGTTTCAAAGAACATGATAAAATCAAAAATTTAAAACAAAAAAATCTCAATATACTTACATTAATGAAATTATCATTTCCATGATAGGGTGAATTTAATTATATACCAGCTAACAATGGCTATAGTGTCTTTTTAGCAATAATAAATAATTTACACACTGGATATTAAACTACTTGGTAGAAATTAAAGTATTAAAAATTCAAAGCATCAATATATAAGACCAATAATATAAAGCATAATCCAACCTCAACACTGTCCTTGTACTTGGACTGTACTGAGGCAATAAGCCTTTCTTCTGAACGGATCTTTTGTAGAACTTGACTATATGTATTTGAAATAATCTCCTTGTCTGCAGCACCTTGTTCCTAAGCGAAATTACACACATAGAATTATATAAAAAGGAGTATTCAAAATAGTTCAAACCTTCAGTAACAACGAATAAACTTCAAAATGATACCTTCAACAAATTTCTGTATCTATATCAGAATATTTCTTAATGTTGTTTTTGTTTTTGTTTTTGTTTTAATGGAGGTACTGGGGATTGAACCCAGGACCTCGTGCATGCTGAGCACATGCTCTACCACTGAGCTACTGCCTTCCCCAGAATATTTCTTAAACATAAATCTTTTTCTAGAGAAAAGAGAGATTGATGTCAAAAATATTCATATGGGAAATTTTATTCCCATAACATTATTATTGTTAAAGCTATCTGGAGTATAGTGTTAAAGGAAATCAGGGATACGACAACACTAAATATAAGAACTAAACAATATATGAAACTTCAACACTTCAAATTAGTTTTAGAAATCATCTATTAACAACCACTTCTATAATCAAGCCTGAAAAAAATCAGCTAAATAAGGACTATCTGACACTGGGAAATACAGCAATGAGTCTGTATTTTTTTAACGCCAATCTAAATAAAATCACAAAAGGTAAAAACAAGCAAAACAGAGAACCACTGATATTTTGATAAGCAGCCTGAAAAACTGGGAGAGTCCCAGTAAGCAATACTAACATTAGAAAGTACTCTTGAGGAGCTATACTAATTTTTAACTTCACACAGCAATAGACAATATATACAGCAGGGGAAGGGAGCTATTAGTCAATCTTGTGTATCCACTTCCAAGAGTTCTCTCAGCTATTATTTCAAGTGTTCTCAAACTCTAAAGAATCTTATCTTATAGTCACTGGGTATGATGGACTCAAGAATCAAATGCTACAGAAAGCTGATAGAGGAGTTTTTTTCCTGGAATTAAGCATTAGATTTTATTATTTTTTAATGTGAAATATCTTATTAAAATAGAAATATCACCCTGTGGAAGAATAAGACTTCTCATTGTGTTTGGATTATAACTTGACACTGTTACATTTCAAACAGACCTTTAAGAGGAAAGCTAAGACCAGTCTTAACACACTCAAACTAGCAGGTAAAATCATTTTGCTTCAAAGGAAGCAATAATAAAGAATATCAATACTCACAATCAGAGATATCTCCAGCTCTTTGCAGACACTTGACTCAGTCTTCTCTAGGATTTCATCAATATTATCAATTGTGTCTTCAGTCAGTGATTCTTCCACAGATAGATCAAAGGCCTCATTTGCAAAAACAGAAATATGAAGTATCTCATTTAATTACTTCAATTAATGTTGTGTCCTTATACTTGGAGTAGGGCATTAGCCTATGAATTGGGCAATGTGGGGGAAATAAACACAAGAAAGATAAAATACTGCCCTCATAAAACTCAGGCACCAGAAATGAAAAGATATACACACATCACACACCTAAAGAAAAAGCAGATTTCTATTAAGGTAATTAACGGCTAAGAGAGATGAGAGGGCAATACAGTGGAAAAGCATGAGAAAAATCAGGAATAAGACCAAGATGTTCTGGGGGCATTGTAAAAGAGGCCATGTGACCAAAACCAGTAAACAACCTTGACTACTCAGGTGGCAACTTTAAATTTGGCAGGTAGTGGGCAGACAATGTCAGCCTTTGCGTAAGGAAGGGGGTATGGTTACACCTGGTACTTACTGATGACCCACAAGCATTTAGGAATCTGAAGATTAAAAGTTAAAGATGAAGCCCCAATAGTTTCCTTCTCATTAGGAAAATTAAGGTACTATCTATCAGGAAATAGACTTTATAATAAGGTGTTAAACAGAATAAAATCAGAGGCCCAAACTGTAATACAGAACATAAAGGTCACAAGCAGTCACTTTGATTTCAGAGATTCAGATTTGTGATTATGAAGATCTAGGTATGAGAAACAGTTATGGAAATGAAAGAAAAGGGTAACAGCTAACCAACCTAAACAGAAAGACAATTATGATCAAAGCAAAAAAAGACAAAGAAATAACTTAGTTATATTAATGTATACATAAGGAAATACTAAAAATGAAGAGCTCTAGAAGTAGATGAAGATTAAAGGTATTTTTTCCAAAACAAAGCTAGAAATGTTTATTTGGAAATCTCTCACATAGAAAGATAAATACCACCATGGGTGCCCCTGCAAGAGCTCAGGAAGTTGTAAAGCAAACAGAATAGAGAATCAATAAGAGAAACAAGGCAAAATTTAATTAGGGTTTTGAGTACACTATACAAAACCAACCACATGCCCCCAAGCCTTTTGGGAAATTACATGGTGTTTTCACAATAATAAATAAGAACTAAAAAAAATTATATACAAAACATCTTTTCTAATATCTAATATCAATTGAGACTAATAATCCCCAATTATTTTAGGTATCTTTAAGATACTGAAGATAACTAAAACTTAAAAGACCTAAATAAACACTACCACACATCATTTTAAGCATGAAGTTAGTTAACATTAGTTAGCCAACTAACGTTAAAAAAAAAAGTCTTTATAAAATAAAGAAGTTTCTTCTGTATAGCACAGGGAACTATATTCAATATCTTGTAGTAACCTATAATGAAAAAGTATATGAAAATGAATATATGTATATATGTGTATGACTAAAACATTATGCTGTACATCAGAAATTGACAAATTGTAAATTATACTTCAATTTAAAAAGTATGTCTTGCTAAAAAAGAAACCAAAAAGAAAAAAAGAGGAAAGCTGTCTACCCTCTAAGGCATATACCCTTATCTCTACACTACAGCTATAAAACATACACTACACTAGTATAAACTCCACTGATACTATCTTACATCTATAGCTTAATTTAAGTTGTTTTCAATCCTATTGCTGTACACCCTAAACAGAGAACATAACTATGTAAATCTCTCACTTTTCCATCCCAGCATTCTCATTCATGTTTTCTCTCTCTCTCTCTCACTCCTCTTTCTCTCTGTCTCTCTCTCAGAAAAGAGGTAAATTACATGTGGGAAGTTGAAAAATATATGTTCCCTGCTTTATGCTATGACACCACCAGGCAACAGCTCTTGTTACCTTTAAGGTACTCTGGAACCACGCTGTAAGATGTTGTAGAGAAACCTCTGTTTCACTTCTAACATTGGTGAATTCCTCTCTTTTATTACACTTCCAGTCATAAAATTTCTGAAGTATTTCTTCAGAGTCTGTCCCTTTGGCCTGTCCATATACTGCTTCTAAAGAGGCTGACAAATCCTGCCGAGAGATATTTCTGTTTATTAAAGTTTATTAACTTTAGATTAGGATTCAAGCACCATATTCGAATCTAAGAGACAAAGAAGTAGTATGTTGAATCCTTATCTTTGAGCATTTTATAAATAAAACTTAGAATAATTAGGCATAAAAGCATAAAACTACCTAGAAGGTGATTTATTTGGACTATAATAGTACAAGTTCGTTAAGTGAATAAAGATTACAAATTCTTTATACTTAGATTTTTAATTAAGTAGAAATTACCCTCATTTCTCTGACTTTAAGAATCGCTACTGTTTTGCCCTAACATGGAAGTTTCTAAGAGTTATTGCTAAATAAAAATAAACACATCAAAATACAGAAATAATTCCAATTAAGGAAAGACACTGAGCATATACATGCACTTAAAAGTATTTCTGAAAAGGACTGAAAGAGACAAGAGAGATTGATGGCTCTATCAATCAGACTCTAGAAATGTCACAGAGATAAGAGGAAAACTTAATAGATTCCAGAAATTGTTATCACAAAACTCTGAGAAACCCTTGGAAACAAAGAGGATGACTGGTGCTTAGCACTGAATGAATACAATCACTGCAAGTGGGAGAAGACCTGTACCACAGCAGAGAATAACCTGAGGGAAAAGACAGCTTTCTTCATATGCCCTTCCCTCTCCCTCACACTGGGCAGGAAAGCAGCAGCACAAGCAAGAGGCAGTGGGTTTACACAACAACAGCTAATGAACCTAGATGAGGCAAAACTTGATAACCAGTAAAGAAAAGAGCTGACCAAGCATTCTCTTTTCTTCCCTTTTCCCTGAATACCCGGTAGCATTTACACCTAAGGGTGGCAGCCCCTGGAAAAGAACAAAAGCTGGGGCAGAGGGACCGGGAGGTCCTCAGAAAAGGAAGATCATCTAGAAGAGAAGCCAACAGGAAGTAGTTGAGCCCAGACTGCAACCCTAGAAGTTCTGAGAAACAACCTCATCCTATTCCCTAAACCCACCTAAAGTCTCTGAAGTTATGGTCCAAGCCTTCACCCCTGCCTAGGTCCCTCTACCACCTTATCACATACATACACAATAGTACACTAAGAAAGTTTATTGTTCTTCAAGAGAATATGAGATCTTGACGGGAAGTACACAGGAGGATGAAACGAGTGAAAAATACAAGCACTCTGAAAGAAATATGACAAACAAAGCCATCTTATAAAAAAGAAGCAAAAGCAGTAGCCCAGATAACAGCAAGAACTCAAAATAAGCATAATAAATATTCTCAAAAAAATAAAGAATATGAACATTAAGAAAAACCAAGTAGTTATAAATAATAACCAACTAAAATTTTTAGGTAAGAAAGAAATAATTTTTGAAACAAAGAACACAGTGGATTGGTTAAGGGACAGAAGAAATACAGCTAGAAAACCAGTTAGTGACTAGGTCGTTAAGTCAAGGATCCCTCAAAAAAGACACAGAAAGGGATAAAAGGATAGAAAAAAGATGGATGAACAATTAAAATACACAGACAATGTAAGTTTAAATATCCATCTAGAAAAGTTCCAGAATGAGAGAAAAAGTAAATGAGGTAAGAAGGGGGAGGGGGAACAGTATCTTAAGAAATAATTATCAAATATTTCCTAGACTTAAAGATATACAACCTCAAACTGAATTGACTCAGATTAAATCTAAACAAATGTTTTAGTACAATTTAGGAACAAAGTCAAGAGAAAATGTGAAAGCTTCCAGGGTGGAAAAAGATCAAAGAAAAAAGAACCAAAATCAGACTCATATCAACAACTACAGAAATAAGAAAACAATGGATTATTACCATCAAATGTCTTAAGGGAAAATGACCTTTGGACATAATATTTTATAGCCAACTAAACAACTGTGCAAAGAGCTTAAATGTTTAAACTATTTAAATAAGATAACCTGTGAGACATTTAATATCTCAAAAGTCAACCACACAAAGCCCTCTTTGAAAGCACTCTCAGAAAAAGTACTCCAGCACACAGAATAAACGAAAAGATACCCAACAACTTATGAAATAAGACTGAGAAAATAACTCTAAAGTGTGTTACTTCACTGAGTTATCATATACAATATCTGTAACAATCTGTGACCAAAATCCTAGACAACAAGTGTGGCTATTTGGTTAGGTGGTTTGGGGAGGGACATACAGACAGATGACATATAAAAGGCAAGTGAGGTGAGTGAGACTGTTCTAAGATACTAGGGGTAGAAGGTAGAAAAGGAGGGGGAAAAAAGAAACCATGATAAACACAAAATAATCACAGAAATAAATTCTAATAAAGCAGTAATTATAAATATATAAATCAACTAAGTTACCCATCAAAAAGCAGATTAATTCTTTTTAAAAATGATCCATTAGTGTGTTGTCTAAGAGAGACATTTAAAATAAAAGGAGAAAAAAAAAACACACAAATCAAATATTAACCAAAAAGACAGGTGGGATAAGAATTTTAAAAAGAAACAAAAGTAAAATTTTATCCCAAATCATTTTAAGGGAAAAATAGTATTACATAATGATTTTTTTTAAAAACACAGTTTAAAATTCGTTAACAATCATGAACTCATTAACACTTAGCAATACAGTATTGAAATATTTTGAACAAATTAAAGAACTACAATATATAACAACGTATTAACTAGAATATATAATAAAAATATCTCAAAACTGACAGACTGATCAGATAAAAAACTAAGCAAAAATATAGAACATTAAAACTTAAAATAATAGCTATATGTCAGAAACAGCATACCAAGAAAACCTAGAATATACTTTCTTTTTGAACTTATAAGGAACAGTCATGAAAAATTTACCATGTATTGTAGGCTCAATAAAGTCAAAAAAAGTCTCAATAAAGGCTGAGAAAACCAAAAATCATGAAGCTTCACTCCTATGACCTCCATTATCGAAGTATAAGTTACATTTCTTAAGTACTTAAAGAGTATAAATAAAAATCAAACTATTTTTCAGCAAAATAAAGAGAAGTTTAAAGAATAATCTGGTGATCAAGGGGACAGCAGAAAGGGAGACACTTGGCAAAAAGTCTTTTAAGACTAAACTTCAAAAAGAAAGCTTTAAAAATGATCTTAGTTGCAGACCCTTTAGCTCTGTTTTCTAACAGTTAAGGAGAAGAAATAAACCTTTACAGGGTAAAGTAAAAGTTGCATTGCAGAGAGGTGAATTCTTACATCTCTGCCCTCTTATACGCAAAGCTTACTTCACCATTCTGTAATAAATAGCATACTATTTATGCAATTCCATTTAAGAAAATGTTTCAAATCAGGGTTCCAATGGTTCCTGAACCATACACAGTATCATGAAAACTACATCTTCATCCAGGTAGACTGAAAAAGACAGTACCCAGATGTCCCTAAATATTCTTTTCACCAACTCTCTAGCAAGCTTATTCTCTAAAGTCCAAAATAATTACTAAAGATACTGACCAAAGCACTAAAAATTCAAAGATATATTTAAAAAGTAAGAGTAGAAGAGGGTTATTGTGTTCAAATGTTCAACCACACAGAAAGCTCATATCAACTGACAAAAACTAAAAGAGAATTCAGCAGCATTGCCGAAGAGGTGTCAATATTTAAAAATCAACAGTATCCCTCTATATCACCAAAAATAACTAGGAAATGGAAAGTAAGGTAACATCCGCAAGAGTAACCAAAAGTATAAATATCTTAGAGTTAAATGAAGGAAAATGCATGAGGCCTTAAAGAGAAACATTTTAAACATCATTAAAGGACTTAAGATCTAAGTAGAAATATTAACGTATTTAGGTGGAATGACAACACTGCCTCACTCATTCACTCCAAATTAGTCATTTCTTAGATGAAGACAAGGTTCAACAACATCATATAGCTACTGTACTCTGTTCCCAGACCATGGATCTTAAAAGCCCTGTAACTCAAGAATCAGGGTCCCTCCTCCCAACTCTGACATAAGGCTTTACTAGATTTTCTGCTAGAAAGCAATGGGCAACAGGGACTCACCTGCCTGCTACTGTTACTGTCTCCGTGAGTTTTCCCAGTGAATGCTGCTCTAGAAAGCCTGATGTGCCTGACCATTTTACCTTGTTTGTAAGATAGATACACATATATACATAAATATATCAAATATATTTATATAAAAATTTAACTCCATAAAAAAGAAACTAAGATTCATCAAAGAAAATAAAAACTTTTGCAGCCATCAGTACTATCTGAAGTCTAAAGATAAATGCTAATTTCACCTCTCAAATGATAAATATCTTTTAATGTATATTTAATATTTTTAAAAATTCTAACCTGCAATGTTTTCAAGCGTTTAGTAAGAGGTAACTCATCTACTTCCAGAATAAAAGCTTCTACTGCCACATACAGCTTCTGTTGCACTTCATTTCTTTTGGCAATCAAAACAGTCCCTTCGTTCTGGAGGAAGGAAAAAAGAATAATCAACTTTAATTTATAATTTAACACACTGACCTCTATGAAAAAGACTAACCTCTTAAAATTAGTAAAATTTAACATTACATTCTCCAAATACAGTAACATTTAGGACAAACACATCTCTCCTTAGATCACCAAACTGACAAAGAACTTTCTTTCCCTTAATTTGAATTAAGATTTAAATTCATTAATCCTGCTCCACTAATCTTTATTTTTTCCAATTATATCTGCAGCAACAAAATTTTTGCTTCTCTTAAGGAAATTATACAGGTGCCTATTATTAATTACACACTGCCTCCTTCCTAGTTCCATCCCATCCTCAATTCCTTCAGCTACTTATCCTTCAAGATTCAGTTAATCTCCACCAGGATAAAATCTCCAATTCACCCGAGAAGCTATGTTTGGAAATAGATATGAGAGATATTCAAGAATTCTATGCATTATCTCTACTACAGTACTTACCAAACTATATTAGAATTATCCATGTATCCATCCCATACCCAAGGAAGACATAGAGACAGGACCATGTCTTAAACAAATTTGTGCATCCACTACCTATAACAGCATCTGACACATACACTTAACAGCTTGAATTTTAGAATATTCTTTTTTGGGTAAGCTTGACTAGACCACTTCATAACTAGTTATAAAGACAAAAGAAAAGAATCTCTTTCACCAAAAGTACACATGGCAATCAAGTTAAGTAACTATGCAAAATATTCATAAATGAAAATAACACTAAGATCCAAATTAAGTACAATAAGGAAAATAAAATGACAGATTTACTTGAGTGACAATTATGACTCTGTATTTATCCAATAATCCACTCTTCTATCTGTCAAATAAACTTTAGGGCAGTGAAGCCTAAATTAAGTCCTAAAAGATCAGCAGTAGCAAATATAAGTATGTGCTTTTTAAAAAAAACACATTTGTTCTACTGGAATATCAAGTCCTAGAGACACATTAAGCCCCCTCCCTCTGTCCTGAATCACTTTCCTATGCTCAAAAGACAAAAAAAAAAAAAAAAGTTAAAAAGCAGTTCTTTTTCATCTTTTAATCCTATGACATGAAAATACATGATGAAGTCATGACGAAGTTGGCAGTACAGTTTAAATGGAAATAGAATGCACTTTGTAATCAGACATACCTGGGTTCAAATTCCAATTAACATTTAGGACTATATAATCAATCTTGAGCAATTTCCTTAAACCCTGGGGGCCTCAGTTTCCTGAGGAGCAAAAATGCCCATTTTAAAAGTTAGTAAAAAAAAAATGTATAAACTACCTGTAATGCTGCCTGTGTTTCACCGAGATCCAAAAACTATTACTTCTGTCAATTTTTTCCTTCCATAAACAGAAGCCACCACTTAAGGTCTAATATGTAAAGTAACTCAAACCTAATACCTTCTCCAAAATAAACGTTCCTGGCATTTCCGAAGGCTAGCTAACCTGTTTATTTTTCTCATTCAGAACCAGTTAGGCTGCCAGCTTGCCAACGTAGGTATGAAGAGGGTATAAGACTTCAAGATACAATCCCCAGAGACAGAAATCACCAATACTTAAGATGGGACAACTCCAAACACAAGTATAGTGCTCCAAGGTACTAAGAAAAGCTATGACTGATGCGCCAAATATCTTTATATGAAAAATAAGGCGCTCTACTGAGTTCATACAAAAAATAAAGAAAATTCCAAGAAGAGATAAATACACTTGTACCTACATTAATAAGGAATTCACATGAAATATTCCATTCTTTATGCCCCTCGCCAACCTACAAATCATCTCCTCTCAAAAATGGATGACTTAGATAGCATTCAATAGTAAGGCAGAGTCCTATACTGCAGCACAAAACACCCTACTAAGACCAGAAGACAAGATCCACATTAGCAGGTGTGGGAGCCACACTGGTTTACAAGACTTATGCCCCTCGAAAGCCACTATCTCTTATAAAGCATAGCTTCCAGGGCCCCTCAAGGGGTATGCTCAGCCCAGTCCAGATACAAATTACCAAATTAGGGGTTTTATTTACCTAAACAATGTTGCCAGTAACATGATTGAAATGTCATTTTATCAAATTACCAAGGAAACAGAGAGAGGTCAAATTCTCATGCAAAAGGGGAAAAAGAATTTATTAACCCTTTATGCAAAATCACTACTTACCTACCCATCTTTCTTACAAGGCAATAAAAGAAATCAAATTATTAATATGAAGACACTGTAAAAGTTGAAGATTTCATATAAAGTACTGTTACAATATCTGCAGTCCTACTTTCTTGAAAGTAGTATCTCCTTATGTTTAACAGATAAAAATTATAAGAAGGAAAAATTCTTGACCCACCATATTCTGACAAGTTTGAATCTTCTCCTGAGCCAGACTGTATTCTGCCCAAATTAGCTCTAATTCATTCAAAGAAGCTGGGGTAGTAAAGCAGTCTTCTTCCAACACTTGTATAGCATTCGAAAGGTCATTTCCAAAACGAACGCTGATATTGACACGTCTATTTTTTTTTAAATAGCAAAAAGGAAAAGATCAAGAAATTTTAAGATGGTATGAGAAAAAAATTACATTTAGATAGTAATGGTCTAAACTTACTATTTACAACACTGACTATGAAGAAGTACTTTTTAAAATTATATAAACTCATAAATAACTCTGATACAAACTTTTAATTAAAAATATATTTGAGAAAAAAATTAAATTTTTTTCCAAAAGCCTTTATATAAAAAGACAATTCAAAAGTCTGCAGAGTGGGGAAGGATATAGCTTAGAGTTAGAGTGCATGCATGCATGAGATCCTGGCTTCAAACCCCAGTATCTCCATTTAACAAAAAGGTAGGGGAAAAAAAGCCTGCAGAATTTTAAAATGGTATCAAATTAGATTTGTAAATACTTCTTTAAAATTTTGATACTTAAGCCAATCTTGCTTACCAAGTCCTTGTACCCTAATAAAAGCAAACTAACATCTGCAGAGTTTAAAAAAAAAAAACCAAAAAACAAAGCAATCAGAAAGGCCAACTAGCAAAACCAACAAGGCCCATTATATTCTTTTTTCGAGCTTCCAACTAGACTGTCACCATTCTAGTAGTGCATTATTTCCTCAAATATCAATTAAAATAAATTCAACTGTTTTGATCCAAAGTCTTTCTCACAGCTTTGCCAGTGTAGTCACTCGGATTTTTGGTAGGGCATTAAAAGCTGATTAAGTTCTAGAGAGACCAAGTTACTCAAACTATTTAGAGATTTATAAACCAGATGCCAACTGACAGATTTATACTGGAGAACATAAATTTCCACTGGACAAAAAAACAACATGCAGTATTAATTCAGGACATCTTCTTAGTGTTTCAAAGTCTGTGAGAAAATGAATTACTGGCTTAAGTTGTATATACAGCACAAAAAAAAGAACCAGGTTGTTTTGAGAACTATTTTTTCCACATTCCAGAAAAGGGTGAAAAATTATCCCTAACCAACAATAAAGCAATCCTCTATAAAGTAAAATACCTACATCATTCATATACAGAGTCTGAGATATGCTGAATAAACTCTGCACAAGGCTTGCTAACCAATTTCTTCTCTTCTGACTACACGACAATCACTTTTCTTCTAACCCTATGAAAATGACTTTTTCTTTAGACAGAGTATAATAATCTAGATTACTGAAATTTTTATAGTTTTAGTACAAGCCTGAAAATAACCCCAAGCAAAGCAACAGGACACAGTAGTTTCCCATTAAACTACCACTTAGAAGTTGTGTTGATTTTTTAACTTCATTCTCATAGATGACTTTAGGACACTATCATTCCACATAGTGACAACAGAACACCGACAAAAACACTATAAATAAATTTGTCTCAGGAGTAACTATTTTTGGTTTCCCTCTTTAAAGTAATAAAAATACAAATATTGAATTTCAAAGCAAAAATAGTAGGCATATAAACAAAGCATCAACTGATTAGCATATGTTTTAAACAATCCTTCTTAAAAATATGTTGTTACCTACCTAATTTCTTTCAATAGTTCAACCTTAGCTGCCAGATTTTTCATTCTGGTACCTACATGAGTCTTCAGAGTGCTCTCTAAATGTTTAGTCAAATCCATCATAGTCGCTTTCTCTTGCTGAAACAAAGAACAAATACATCTTAGACCCAAATAGGAAACTAAATTTCTACTGTTATTTAAATGATTTTTAGGCATAATTAAAATTTTAGAGGTAAAAAAATAATAGGCCACAGGATGACAAACACTGATTTCCCTATTAGCTGGGGTCTGAAAAAGATCATCTATTCCAGTCTTCTGCCTTCACACAGATTAGACACTCTTACAGTTCATCCTAATAAGAAGCCAAATAAAAATAAAATTACATATATTATATATCTTAATTCTTAGATTTTAAAAAGACAAATAGAAGTTTCCCTCAGAAACCAAATAATTATCAATGAGAATTTGTTTTCTGATAAAGTCTGATATCATTCTGCATTATGAAAGAATCTAAAACATCATTTCCTTGACCCAACCTACATTAAACTCTCTGATTCTGAGTGGTACCTCAAGATATATCTAGTATAATTATCCAAAATAATATATAGAGCAGTAAGATAGATAAAGACGTATTAATTTTATTCCAATTGTACTACAGATCGGGTATTACATAGTTAAACACAGAACATTTACTCAATATTTAAACAACATGCTCTCCAGTGTTCACATTCTCTCCAATCCTTCAGTTAAATAAAAAGACAGAGCTAATGTATTCTTACTAATAGTAAGTGTATTAGCTATCAGTAAGTTACACTTGGGAATGCTCATGGCCTTCTGCTCCCATTTGCTGAGTAGGACGACCATGAAGCAGCAGTTATGTTTGTTCTTAAATCTATTTATATCCACTGTAATTGCTATGATAATTACTCCAAAAGTTATATAAATCTAAGAAACAGAAGTAGGAAAACAAATCATTGAATCTTTGAAAATGTGTTTAATGCTCTGCAAAGTCTCCATAAAAGCAAATTTTTAATACTAATTGCTCATGGATTACATGTGGATGAGAACTATAAAATACTAAGGAAAAGAATCACTCAAATCTAAAAGAACTGTCAGCTTAGATTGTTTCTCAAATATCTTGAACTTTTTAATCCATTTGTTAAAAAAAAAGCTGGAAATCAGATGACAAAAATTAGCACAGTTTTTAAGACAAGAACAAATAAGACAAATAGAAAAGATGGCAAACTTGAATCCAACCACATCAATAATTATTTTAACTGAAGATTAGCTAAACACTCCAATTAAAAGATACTGAAAGATTATCAATCTGGATGAAAAAGCTTCAACTCAACTATATGCTGCTTATAAGAAACACTTATTAGATACATAAAGACAGATAAAAACTGAAGGATGAAAAATATATACCAGGCAAACATTGCTATATTAATATCAGGCAATGTGGACTTCAGTACAGGCAGCATTCCCAGCAACAAATAGGGATATTTCATAAAGACAAATGAGTCAATTCATCAAGAAGACACAATTCTAAATGTGTATGCACCTAATAACAAAGCTTCAAAATCACAAAGTAAAACCTGACAGAATAAAAGGAAGAAACAGACAAAAGCACAATAACATTTGGAGATTTTAACACTCTTCCCTCCATAACTGACAGAACAAGTAAACAGAAAATCAGTCACAATACTAAAGTCTTGAACACTATCAACTAGTTTGACCTAACACTTATAAAACATTCCACTCAACAACTGTAGTATACACATAATTTTTAAAAGTACACAGAACATTTCCAAAGATTAAACAAAATGCTGGGTAATAAAACAAATATAAGTAAATGTAAAAGGACTGAAACCATACTGAGTATGCTCTCTGATAACAAGAAAATTAAATATCAGTAACAAAATTATACTGGGGGAAAAATCGCCAAATATGTGGAAATTAGGCAACACGCTTCCAAACGGCTCATGATTTAAAAAAAAAAACACGGGAATTTTTTTAAATGTTTGATTGAATAATAAAAACAACATATCAAAATTTGTGGACTACAAATAAAGTGATGCTGAAAGGGAAATATCTTTAAACATGATAAAAGAATAAAGAATAAAAACAATGATATGAATAAAAACATACATAAAACAATGATATGAATTTCCATCTAAAGGAGCTAGAACTAATTAAACTTTAAAGAAGGAAATATAACAGTAAGTAAAGAAATCAATAAAGTAGAAAATAGACAAACAATAAAGAAAAAAAATCAACAGAACCAAAAAACAGTTCTTTGAAAACAGTAAGAACTTCCAGTTTCCAGCCCAGTATGTAAGAAGAAAAGTCACCAGTCAGTCCATTCTAACGATAATTAAAAAGTTAAACAAACTGAAAAATCAACAACTCTTCTTAGATCTTTTGGAGAGACAAAACAAGCAAATAAAGGCAAATCATAACTTACTGAAGCAGCAACCCCCATACTATTAGGGAACTGGTCTGGAGTAAGAGAACCACAACTGTAATCGACAGATTGGTAAAGGTTCAGTGTGAACAACACTGAAAGTTAAAAACTCCACGGGGACCCCAACATCAGGATGCCCCCACATTTTTGAGTTTTATCCTCCTGGATCTCTACCAGGTCTTCACAGTAAATATAAAAGAAAAATCCCCTCAAGCTTCCAGCAGGGGTAGCAAAGAGGAACCATTCTGAAATATGCCAGAACATTCTATACTTAACAAGATCTGCCCTCAGGGGAAACTAAACAGAGCCTAACCTGCTAGAGTTTTATCCCTGCCTAACTAACTTGAGAGAAAGGAAAAATCTAAATCCAGCCCACTTTTGCCATTCTGTCCTTTCTAAAGGGAGTGGGGGAAAATGAAAGGCATGTGTGAAATTCATTCCAAAGGCATAGGCTTACTAAAAGACTGAGACCTTTCTTAGTCTTTCAGGACTATAAGACACTTCTCCTTTCCCCACACCTAATCACATTATTAAAGTCCTATTTATAGCAGTTCCTTTTACCCAGTACATCATGCCCAGCTATCAAAAAAAATTATAAGACATATTAAAAGACAAAAAACACAGTTGGAAGAGACAAAGCAAACATCAGATTCAGATATGGCAGGAATGCTAGGACTATCAGACCAGAAATTTAAAACATATGATAAATACGCTAAGGGCTCTAATAAGTAAAGGAGACAGCATGCAAGAACATACAGGTAATGTAAGCAGAGAAAGAAATTCTAAGAAACAAACAAAAAGAAATGCCAGAGATCAAAAACACTGTAGACAGAAATGAAAAATGCTTCTGATCAGGATACTAGATAGAGCTGAGGAAAGAATCTCTATAATCCACGATACGTGAATCCATGTATTCACAGAAAGACTTCTACAAGAATATTCACAGTAGCTTTATTCATAAGGGCCAAACAATGGAAACAATCTCAATGCCCATGAACAGGAGAATGAGTAAATAAACTGGTATACTGATAGAATGGAATACCACTTGGCAATAAAAATGAACAAACAAGATGAATAAAAATGATATACACAGTATAGATAAATCTCACAGACATGCTTTAAGTGAATGAAGCTAAACAAAACACAATATAAATTAGAGTATTATTCCATTTATATGAAGTACAGGACCAGGAAAACAAAATTATGGTTACATAAATGAGAATAGTGGATTCCCTAGGCAGGGAGCAGGGAGAGGGAGAGAGAGGACAGGCTGGAAAGAAGCACCAAGGAACTTTCTGGGGTTGAAGGATATGCTTTACATCTTGGACAGGTAAAGTAAATGGCCTGAATCCATCTATTCTCTTCATACAAGGGGACCAGGACACCCATATAGGGAAAAAAAAAAAAAAGGCAGGTGACTAGTCTAATCTCCTTGTCAATTAAATCTCAAAACAAAAAAAGACTGTTTTCTAAGAGGAAGAGACCTTATCCCTGAAGTGCCCTTACCAGGATGTCCCTGGCTAAAGGATCACTTATAATGGATAGAACCCAAGATCATGGATTTATTATCCCCAAAGAATGTCACATATGAATTTAAAGATTGGAGACTGAGACTGAAATTAATTATCAATGGTCAATGACTTAATCAGGCCTATGGAATGAAACCTTGATTTTAAAAAACTCAGAATGATGAGGTTTGGGAGAGCTTCCAGACTGGTGAATAAATTCATGTACAGGGAGAGTGGCAGGCCAAGAGACCTCCCTATCCCTTTCCCCACCTCCATCCCCATCATAACTTCCTCTATGGGGGGGATTTTACTTGACTGTTCCTGAATTATATCCTTTATAATAAAACGCTAACCATAGTAAGTATAGTACTTTCCTGAGTTCTGTGAGCTGTTTCAGTGAATTTCTGAATTGAGGGCAGAGGATAGGGGTGGGTCATAGGAACCCTCAATTTTATAGTCAGCCAGGCAGAAGTAGGGGTAGCCTGGCACCTGATTTGTGGCTGGTGTCTGAGGTGGGTCAAGTCCTATGAGACTAAGTCCCTAATTTGTGGAGTCTGCAATAACTCCCAGTATTTAGTGTCAATAATTGATTGTAAGACATCCAGTTGGTGTTAGAGAACTGAAGAAGTAGTGCTAGGATAACATATTTGGTGTCAGAAAAAACGACATACTTGAAAAACCACACAGTATTCTTGAGGGGAAAAAAAAAGCCCTGAATCTGAGCAAACCTTGAGATCTAACTACCATAAAAGGAAATATTTGGAGATAAAGGAGCCTGTTAAGCAACACAAGATGCAAATTAAGCAATTTATGTATGGGCCTAACTGGGATTCTGATTGCAAGAAACCAACCCAAAAAGGACATTCATGAAATAATATGGGAAATCTGAATATTGACTGTATATTAAATGATATTAAGGAATTATTAATCATTAGGTATAACAGCATTATGGTTATGTCTTTTTTTGAAGTTCTTTTCTATTAGAGATACATACTAAAGTATATACAGTAAAATATTATGAATGGGATTTGTTTTAAAATGACTCAGGAGATACAGATTTAAAATAAAGATTGCCCATGTATTTAATAATTGTGAAAACTGGGTGATGAATATGTAGGAATCTCTCTTTTAAAAAAGGTTTAAAATTTTCCACAGTTAAAAGTTTTTTAAAGAACATAAAAGGAAATCCAATGTGAAATTATTACTCTCACAAACATCCAATGAACTTCAAAGATGATTAGTTTTTTGTGTAAGAAAAAATTTCACCTATAAACAAATATAAAGAAAGGAGAGAATAAAGAGTGGGGAGAGGTAGGGAAGGAAAGGAAAGGAGACAGAAAATTAAACAAACAAGAGCAAGTGAATGTACAGATTTCCTAGTTAGTCATTCTTTACCTTAAGCCATTGAACATATCATACCTGTAGCTCCTGGGCAGTCTGTTCTACTTTCAATTCCAATGCCGTATACCTTTCAAGAAGAACCTCTTTCTCTGTTTTAAGCTTTTCATTTTCTTCAATCAGTTTCTGGTCCTGCTTAATTTTTGCCAGGCTGACATTAGACCCTAAATTAAAGTCACCAACAGCCAAGTTTTCCCTATCAAAAACAAATTCACTCATTTTAAACACCAAACTACGTAAGGAAGACAGAGATCAAAATCCAAAATTATCTTGGGGTTTTTATACTATAATGTATTTTAAAGTTAATTTTGAAAACTAATCTAAAACCTTTACCTAGTTCAATATTTTAAAATATTTTTTAAAATATTTTAATGCAAACTAGATTTTATAACTGAAGTCATACTTCAAAAACAATGCCCCCAAATTTCAAAGAAACCATATTCCAACTTCCTCATAGCAATATAACTCCAGCAAATACCACAAAAAGCACTTCAGTATCAGTTTCTTCCAATCCCTCCTCCCCACCACCATATGACAGCTTAATTCCTAAAGCACTGCTAAGACCCCAACAAATAGCTATATCATCCAAGACATGGCATCATGGCCTGGATGATGATAATACAGTAGTATATGAATGATTTGGTACTTTTAAACATCAAACCTGGCTTTCTGATTCAAGTCTGTTATTCGAAATTACCTAAAAAGTGAACATCTTTTGTAATAATCAAATTCCACCACAGTAAGTTTTCACAGGAAGAAAAAAGAGCCTCTCTTTCATTAAAAAGGAAATGTAATTCCCTAAAACTCATTAAAATATTCTTAAAGCCAAGGAAAAAAACTTCAAAGCTTATCTGAAATTCTGGTTCTGCCTGAATAATTCAGATTTAGGAGTAGATTTTTATTCTTGATAATTGTATTCTAAAGAGTTGAAATGAAGAGTTTGTATGTGAATTTTAAACAATTCAGGAATAAGTCTTCTTTCAAAATGGCTTTTAATTAAAAGATTTCTGCTAAAGCAGAGAGGACTACATGTTTAAGAAAAATAGAAATAATCACTATCATCCCTTAAAATTAATGACATAGTTGGAGGACTCAAAAACATCAGCCCTGATTTCTACTACGACAAGGGCTTCTACCATAAACAAGAAATAAAGTAAGACTAAAAATCCCACCAGTCTTACTTTGGAAATGTCATATGATTTCCTGTAACATTTTCATTCTTCAAGTCAAGAGCCAACTTCCCACTTAAGCGTCCCTTTGGCCTGCTGAAGGCTGACTGGTTTGATCTATGTCCCCACAAGGGAATGGGACTTTTGAGGTTCCTGAGGACAAGTGGACCAGGATCTGATTTTTTTTCCTCAGAGATGTTAGTACTGGAAGTGAGTTTGCATTTTTCTGCAAATCCTTTCTTAGCCACCTCTTCCCCTATATCCACACTGCCATACTCAGCCTGAGCAATAACTGTTCCATCTTGATAAGTTGCTTTAATTCTCATTTTTATCTCCTTTTCAAAAATCAAGCTCCCCAAAAAGGTTCTGCCCTAAGAAAGACAGGAAAAATGAAGACATAAACCAGATACACCAACATGTTCCTCTTCACTCATTTTATTTCTCCCCAGTTCTTTCAACAATCATATTTCTTCATTCTAAAATCTCAATAAAAGTGGTCTTACCTTGTTGTTGACTAAATGCAAACATACTTCTGCATGTGTAGGACTATATTCCAATTACATACTTGCTAAAATCCTTTCCAGAAGTACAGCTAATACCTGTATAGGGGCCATATTTATAAATTCTAAAACATGTACAATTAAATACCCTATAATAATTATTTTAAACCAAGAAGATTGTGTTGACCATTTTGGCCCCAACTAAATATAAAGGTGTCTTGAGGAGCTACAGTACATAAAAATGAATTCTGCTATCTAGAAAAGGTGCTCAAATTCAATAAAACTTTAGAAATCATTTTGAGACAGAACCAGGTACTCTTAATTTTAAAGATAACAGCAGGAGCAAAAAACAAATTCAAAGCATAAAACATCTATAAATTTTTTAAAAATCAGCAAATTGAAATTATGAAATATGAGATGTTAGAAATTCCTAAATTCAAAACCCTCTGAAATAGAATTTTGTTTAAGAGAGCAATGCTTGTACAAGTGGCATAGGAGAAGCCATTAGTAATTAGATAACTTTTAATTATTGATTATCCATCCACAGCACTGATAAAAGATACACCTAAAACATATTTGTAATTGGAAGATATCTTGAGATATAATTTTAATAAGAACTTGCCTACACCTCTAGAAATTTAAATTCCTCAAATTACTTTCATGTGATCTAGTTTGATAATTCTTCTCTTCTCAAATTTCTGTAAGTTCCTAATTTTCACCCAGCACTAGAGAGGAAATGAATCATTTCTCAGAATATATAAAGCATAAATCTGAAACAGAAATGGGTACTTCTGAAATTTACTGGGTCTATTTTCTACATCAATAACTAGATTTATTTAAAAGGGAAATTTACTGGTTCCTTGGAATAGGGACCTGATATAATTAATCTTATGGGCCATATCTCTCTTACAGGGAGGAGCTTTATTTTTAGCTATATTCCCACTAGGTAAATTCAAAAAACAATATAGTTTATGCAAATAAAGCAAACCAAATAGGAAATCATACTAATGATAATCCAGACAACAAGAGCATAAAGAACACATTAAAAACCAGAAAATAAAAGCTGGCCACCTTTAAATTAAAAAAAGAGAGAGAAAAATATTTTTCAAGGTCTAGGAAACTAAATAATATTTACAGGGAGAAACTATCAATAGTTACTTTTTACCTACATAGTAGTAGGTAGAAGTGAAACCTATGTAGGCGTTTTTAACTTTTTCTATGTCAAGAGCTCCTTTATCAGTCTGATGAACCCTCTGGAACTCTTGGAAAAGTGTTTTTAAATGCATAAAATAAAACACACAGAACTACAGACAAAATTATTTCACTGTGACACGTCTTAAGTTCAGGTTAAGAACCCCTGGGCCTAGAAAGATGCATCTGAAAGGGCAAAAGAGATTCAAACTATATAGTCTCAAGGATAACCAACCATCACTACCCAAAAGAAAAAATATTTTTTTTAATCCACAAGCCAAAATGACAATTTCACGTTACCAAAACACAGGTTTAATAAATTTTTCAAATCATAAAAATTAAAAATACATACATATTGAGAGGCTTGAATTCATCAAGAACACCAATACAGAAAGCAAAGATGGTCCTGAAGGCATCACCAACAAATGAAATCAAGCAGGCAAAGCTAATAAACTCAAAATCTAATTCACTGAAATACATCAGATTAAGATTTTGACCAATCAGAATGTAGTTTTTAGTTAACTTCTTTCATACAAAAACCCTGAATTTCATCCTTAATGTTGAAAGTCTACCTAAAATTCAAGTACAACTTCCATCCCTAATCAATCTTAATGGAAGTGACAGTGTCTGAAAATTATTGCTGCAATGTGTGGAATTCTTAACACTTCAAGAAACTCTGTCCTTGGGCAACATGAATTTAATTGGAAATAATCTTCTTTTTACAAAAGTTTCAATCACCCAAAGATGAATATTCTAAAGGTATACCACTCCTTACATAAAAGGTTTTATGCACAAATCTGATTTCTAGACTTTTCTCTGAAGTCAAATTCTTTTTAAGTTATGATCACCAATCACAACTAGTACAAAATTGTTCAATCACATTCTCCCTGAATCATATATAACCACAAAGACAGAACCCAAATTTGGAATAAAATCTGAGTTCTCCTAAACTCTAACAAAAAAAGACAGAGTAGATGACATGTGGGTATTTGAATATTATAGTTTATCATTAATATATAGCTCATATATTAGCTTTTTTAATGCCTTAATATTTAATCTTTACAATGAAAAGTGTTATAATTGCTATTAAATCTGTGTGCTAGATATGTATTTTTAAGCATATTTAGCTATTTAAAAGGTATAAAATATACCTTTTAAGTAAATCTAGTCATTGGTTTAGAAAATAGAGCTTTCAATCATTAAAAAAAGATGTCACTTTTCTAAGATACATTTCATTTTGTTTTCCAAATTGGTAAGCTTTATTCTGAAGCTTTATTCAGCTTTATTCATTACTTGCTTTCTTAGTCTACCTAATCTTGTCTGGATATATCAGAAGACATGTTAAAAGACCTTTAAACTGTTAAATCTATATTTCAATCTCCAGCTTTCATTCCCTGATTCTACATACAAATTTTCAAAGTAAAAAAGGCATTTAGGACATAATTTAATCTCCTTTGATCTTCAGCAATTTGTAACCACCATTTTGAGTATCAATTTCAACTATGCTATATAGCATTGGTGTGAAAGTGTTCGTTTAAAAATGTGTTGAAGGTATTTCAGTGCCCAGGACACCCTCTGAAGTGGCTCTCTCTTTTTTTTTTTTAACTGAATCCCTATCTATCCATTAATTCGTTCAAATACTAGATAAACTGGATGCTCATCTAACACCTAACAGGCAGAAACAGGGAGATTAGGCATAGAAAAATGAATAAAATCTTTTCTCTACCAAGAAAATCTTATGTCTACCAAACTCACCACCTTATGAGGGGAGGAAAAAATTGTAACTCTACATGCCTTACACACTGACCAAAACAGCTACAGCGGAATGAATGGTGGGTATTAACAAAGACTTCCTATAGGCAATTACAATTGAGTCTTGATTTGAGAATTAATGGCTAAACATGGACTTTCTAATCAGAGACACTCAAGAATAACTATTTTTTCCAGAAAACATTCAGTTTGCTAATTAGTTCAACTCTAATCAATAGCCTTTTTACTGAACATAAGCATGCAAATACAAATAGCACCACCTATTAAGAATCTATGAAGCATATAAAACATTCTCAATAACAGAAGTTTCCTTCTTCTGTTCCAAAACTAACTTTTTTAAAAACACCTTTTTCCCTTGATTCATGTTTGTTTCAAGCAACATAAATTTTATATCATTTTACTATGAGAAGAGCAATGGACTTGAGCTTTATGACTTTAAGTCATTTAACTGTTGTAAACTCAACTTCTTTATTTGTAAAACAATAAGGTGAGAGCAGGTGAATTCTAAGGTCTATAAATGTAAGATTCTACAGTTCTAGGCATGCAAGAAAGTCAAAACAAGCCTCTACATTGGTCAAAACATTTATAGTAAAGAAAAAAGTAATAAATTTTAGATTTTAAACCAAAATTTTAGGGTTTATTTTTACAATAATTTCTATGCTTTACTCTGTTTATGAGACAGTTCAAAGAAATTTTTTTTATAAGTAACTATAGTGCAGATAAAACTACACCCAACAACCTAGAAGATTCTAAAAACAAACAAAAAAAGAGGCAAAGAGAAGGTTTTCAAATTTTACTGTTCCTTCTAGTGCTGATTAAATCATTTTCATTTAAGTTATCTGAGCTGGTAAATAAAATACAAATGTGATTATTTTGCAATGTAATATTTCCTCAACAGCAGTATGAGATACCAAAAGAACATCATTATTGCACAGATTTTAAAAGGAGGCAGGGTTCCTGTAAGACTACTCCTGAAATTATCAGATGTCTTTCAGAATTAGGTTGTTAACCCA